TAAGCTCTATAAACATTATTACAGAAGTTATTAAGATTTTAATTCCAGTCACGTGATGTGGATTTTGGTGTGTTTTCTAAAATCGCCGCTTACACCATGTCGCCGCTTACACCATGACCTACGTTACCTCTTAGGTAAGATTAGGTTCTACAATTCATTTAAAGGCATCCTAACTTACGTGTTAAGTTAGGACGTAGAGTTAAGGCATAGAGGATAAATAGGGTAACAAAAGAGGTGTTAAAGAGGTAGTTTAACATGTATAAAAGCCTTATAACAGAGCTAAAAATCAAAAACTACAACACCTATAATATAGACAAGACTAGATTTTTAATTAGAACTATGTAATCTACACGAATTATAGTTGATTCTACACTCTATACACGATTCTAAGCTCATTCTAGCTAATAGGAATAGGTGTCTGCAGTTGAGTGCATCTTATAGACAGAACAGCTATTAACCCTCTTATTATCTTTAAAGGATAGAATTTTCTATAAAGCTAGATTCTAAAGGAAGTTATACAAAAATGGCACTTCTCTATAAACATAAAAGGGTAGATAAGCAATCTATATAGATTAGAGTAGTTAAGACGCGTTTTTAAGCTCTCTATAAGAGCAAAAGCAACACTTCTAAATAGAAAACTATAATAAAGGCTCTTTATTTATAAGAGCTATAATAGCTATATAAGTAGAAGCTTTATATTACACTGTATATAGAATTGAATATTGCTCCTTATAATACCTCCTTATACATCTTATATACTACAACCACTTAATATTTCAATTTTTAGGTCTTTAAAGCAACACCTTACAACTACTCTCTTATACCTAAATAAGGCACAACTACTACGTATATAGAAGTTAGAATAGAGGTTGTTATTGTAGGTGTTGTTGTATGTGTTGTTGTTGAGGCTGAAAAACGCAACACTTATTTAACCGGACTTCATCTGCAACCTCTCGTAGGATTCGATGGCTAGGTGCGTAGCCACTATTTATAAGCTCCTTTATCCATTTTAATAAGGTACGCTCTTGATTTTTAGATAATAGTTGCTGTTTTTGACGCGCTTCTTGCCTTAAAGGCCGTTGTTGGCTAACGCGCTTACTGACAGTATTGCGGCTTAACCCTAAGGCCTTAGCAGCCTCATATGACGACTTATACTTCTTATTTTGGATGCCTAGGATAGCTTCAGCTAATAAAGCTTCTAATTCCTTTGATTTTTGACTTTTTTGACGCACCATAATTGATTTTAGGTGGTTAATAGGGTGTAGTAAATAACTACACTTACTTTGGTGGGGTATAGCTCTAGGAAAGCGTCCCGTTACGCCATCCGTCCCGTTACGCCACGACTTACGTTACAGTAGAACGCTTACATACTCCTATAGAGCATGATATTTTTAAGAAGGTATTCTTAAACAGTAGTCCACCTGATTTTCAAACACTTTAAAAAGTGAATTCTGTGCTCTCTACAGCCTTAAATTAAGGTGTTTTGAATACTCCTACAAAGCGATATATTAATAAGTTAGCAGATGAGTTAGAACGCCTTAGTATACGTAATACCCTTTAAAAAAGAGAGTGTAATAACTTACACTCAATTATTTAGAAGCGTAGAGTATAGAATAAGGGCAAAAGAGCAGTTTTAAAGGGTTAATTCCACATTTCTATAGAAGAACTCTAGTTGCAAGTTATAGAAGCAGAAGCAGCAACAGCTATAGCTTTACAGAGGCCTAGAACAACACCACAACCTATAAACGAGGCTATAATTAAGGAAATAGATGAAGAGAGTGAAGAAGAGCTATATGATAGCAATTTAGATGAATTGGCTCTATAGTAATTGAATTATTTACGATTTTCTAAGTTAACGTAAGTCGTGGCCATACCGGCTACATGGCCATACTGGCTATTTTGCTGACCCCACTAAAAGTTGGTTAGATTTACATCACATGACCTACAATTGAATTCCTAATAACTTTTGTAATAAAAATATTAGGACTTAACCCTCTTATATAAAGTGTCTTTATATACCTATACCTTATAATTAAAAACACTAGCATATAAGCTAGCGTTATAAGGAAATTATTAACAGTTTTAGATTTGCTATACTAAATTTTTATATAACAAAAGTTAAAATCTTTAATAACTTATGTAAAACAAAGCTAGTGCTATTAGCGTCTTTATATATAGTAGACAATAGTTTAAAGTTTCTATATATAAGAGGGATATGCTCTAGCATTTTTATTAAAGGAGTTATAATGTTCTGTTTTTTTTAAAGTGTAAGTATCATTACATACAAACTTGTATGTAAAGGTACTAATAGCCGGTATGGCCATGTAGCCGGTATGGCCACGACTTACGTTAGTAGTTTGGTGGTTCTGTCCTGGATTTTAGTAGGGTTTTTAGAATCGCCGCTTACGCTATGTCGCCGCTTACGCCACGACTTACGTTAGTTTATAAACTCTAACACCTACTACTTACTACTTACATAAATCTATAAATAAGTATAGCTAGTTAGCCTACCTATATATTAATAATTATAAAGCTAAATAGGCTAAATCTATAGGTAGAAATTAGGTTTCTTTTAAGATAGTAGTCATTTAAACATTTACTAAGTATAGAATAGAGCTAAGAATAGAGCTATAGCTAATATTAGAACTACTAACGTAGGTCGTGGCCAGAGCGGCGCCATGGCCAGAGCGGCGACTGCATTAACCACACTAAAATCTAAGTCATGTGACCTAATTTAAAACCTTAATAACTTTTGTAATAGTGGCTATAAAGCTTAATCCTCCTAGCCTATTGCTCTTTATATGATAATACATTATAGTTAAATTTACTAGAGTGTAAGCTAGCCTTATTAAAGAGCTATTTATAGTTTAAGTTTTACTATACTAATATTTATATAGTAAAAGTTTAAACCTTAATATCTCTTGTAAAACGAAGCTAGCACTACTAGCGTTTATATACATATTAGATTATCATATAAAGAGTAATAGTCTAAGAGGATTAAGCTTTATAGCCACTATTACAAAAGTTATTAAGGTTTTAAATTAGGTCACGTAACTTAGATTTTGGTGTGGTTGATGCAGTCGCCGCTCTGGCCATGGCGCCGCTCTGGCCACGACCTACGTTACCTAAAATATTAAAAATATTACATCTACTACCTAACGTTAACTGTTAGAGTGGCAAAGCATGTAATAACAATGTCACGTGTAAACAAGTAAACAAACACTCACGTAATAACCTAGAACACGTATGTAAGATTAAATGGTAGGATATTATAAGTGGATGGTCTTAGTGTGTAGTATATAACAAAGATAATAGTAGTATGTTATTATATATGTATTATAATTGACTTATAGAACAGAAAGAACAGAGGATATCCTATAACGTAAGTCATGGTGTAAGCGGCGATATGGCGTAAGCGGCGATAAGTACCCTTACATATACATTTGTATGCAAAGGTACTTCTACATCCGAAACTAAAAACTTAAATAGCTCTATAGACAAAAATTATTAGGCTTAGCTGTTCGATATTTAGGTTCTATATATAGGCCTTTACTTAACATAAAAACACTAGTGTTACTAGTGTCTTTTTGCAACGCTAATTTAAGGGTTAAGTCTTACTTATACAAATATTTGTATAAGCAATCTTCTCCTATTAATAGAACTACAATAACGACACTAGCAATACTAGTCTTTTGATATATTATAGAAGTGTATATATAGAATCTAAGTACCAAACAGCTAAGCCTAGCGATTTTTATTAACAGAGTTGTTGAAGTTTTTATTTTTAGAAGGGTAAGTATCTTTGCATACAAATTTATATGTAAGGGTACTTATCGCCGCTTACGCCATATCGCCGCTTACACCATGACTTACGTTAGATTAAGCGTCCTTTATATAGACAATATTTATATCGGTTAATGACAGAATTGCCACCCAAAATATCAAAAAGGACAGAATTGCCACCCAACTGTTTTAAAATGACTAAATTGCCACCCTATAAACTTAACTTAACATATCTATAACGTAAGTCGTGGCCATACCGGCTACATGGCCAGACCGGCTATTTTGCTAACCCTACCAAAACCAAGGTTACTAAACCAAAATTAAAACCATAATAACTTTTATAATAGTGTATATAAAGCTTAATCCTCTTAAATTATGTTTTTTCATATAATAATCTAATATGTATATAAACACTAGTAGTACTAGCTTTGTTTTACAGGAGATATTAAGGCTTATATTTTTACTATACAAATATTTATATAGTAAAACTTAAAACTGTTATTAACTTATGTAAAAAGACACTAGTAATATTACCCTTTTTATATATAGTAGATACGTACTTAAAGTTTCTATATAGAAAAGGGATTTGCTCTAGCATTTTTATTAATAGAGTTATTATAGTTCTAATTTTTCGCAAGCATAAGTACTTCTGCATACAAATTTGTATGTGATGGTACTAATAGCCGGTCTGGCCATGTAGCCGGTCTGACCACGACTTACGTTACTCTACTTTGCTATATTTATATAGTAATTAAATTATCATAAGGGCTAATAGGGGCGTATTTCCTTAAGAGCTTATAGGTGTACTTATCTAGCTTAGTAGTAAATTAGAGAGGGAGGCTTTCTTAAGTCTCCTCTATACTGTACTAGCACTAGACCAGGGCTTAACACGTGACAGGGTGAGCCTTTCCAGCTTAGTCATCCTAGACACGATAAGATAAGCCAACGGGGGAGCTCTAAAGTGACATAGGACTGGGAAGGCGACAGGAATAAGAGTGACGAGTAAAGACCAAACAAACTCGTACTTGCTTATCCCTACCCCTTCGAATGATGAGACAACACATAAAGGTAGTACACAATGATGGACATAATGATAGACAGGGAGCAAAATGGTGGGCTATGGGCCCTAAGAAGCCCCCCAACATGACGTACACACCTTGGCTGCTGAGTGTGTATACTCTCCTGTGAGATGCAATTATACCCCCCAGGCGCTCTCCAACAACCCCTCTATTGTCCTCCACGCCTTGCGAAACAGGTTATCTTAGCTACTGGCCCTCAACGCCCCGGAAGTAACCGCAATCCATTTGGCTTTGGCTATCCATCACCGTTAACCCAAGTTATCTATACCCATATACCGTGGCCTTGCCTTGTTTCCACCTTCCTCTCACTACCTTCATTCATATAATTCACCAGATATCTTCCTCCGCAGGTGCTAAGTAGGATCCTCTATATCAGCTTGTGCGGGTACACAAACCACAAGTAGTGCCCTGTTCCTGATCATGGAGCCAGGAACGGAAGACTCGAAAGACGCGTTACCAGCTGCAATCATCGCCCAAGCAGAAGCGGCATGTGTTGGAAATGCAGACGAAATTCGTTCAACACAACAGCGGCAGTCGTCTATTGCATCTTGGCCTCACCAGGCGACGTTGGGGGGTGCTCACAGCTCACCCGAAGCTTCTAGGTAGGCACCGATATACATATCGAACCTCACAAGCGCTGACCATTGTCTCTAGCTCGGCCGATAGGACCTCACATCCTGGAAATTTCGATTTATTGGGAGTTGAAGGAACAGAAGATGCTCCACCAAAGTACAGCGAATTAGAGATCAGCCAAGATGGCCTTGACACGAAGGCGAGAGTCACTGGTAGTCTTCCTCAGCCCTGGCACTGAAGTGATGATTGGCCGCGATACATGTACTGACATGTCAATTCGCAGATGATGGCCGTGTCAATATCACCATAAACCAGAAGACACGGAGATTATCTGAGCTCCTTAGCCCTGCATTGAGGGGCCAGCTATCCCTGGTAGCACAGGAGGACGATCAACCATTACCTCCAGGGTATATCCCACCTTCCCTCGGTGGGCAGCCAGGACAGATTCCTCCGCCAAACCTTAACGTCGTAATTCTTGTTGTTGGTTCGCGTGGAGATGTGCAACCATTCGTCGCGTTAGGGAAGGTCCTGAAATCTGCCTATGGGCATCGTGTACGATTAGCAACTCACCCAGTTTTTCAATCGTTTGTGGAAGAAAATGGCCTAGAATTCTTCAGTATCGGTGGTGACCCGGCCGAGCTAATGGCTTTCATGGTTAAAAATCCCGGGTTAATGCCGGGGATGGATTCGCTCAAGAGCGGTGATGTTGGAAAACGGCGCAAGGGAATGGAAGAGATAGTTCTTGGTTGTTGGCGGGCCTGTATCGAAGCAGGGGATGGCCTCGGGCCTGCACCGCGATTGGAAGGGGGTATAAATATGGACACCAACCCTACTGAGAGGCCATTTATTGCGGACGCTATCATTGCCAACCCTCCAAGCTTTGCACATGTCCATGTTGCGGAGAAGCTGGGTGTGCCCCTCCATATGATGTTTACGTATGTACGAATTATCAAATCTAGTTGGCAAGTTGCTAACATAGCAATAGCATGCCATGGTCGCCTACTCAGTCCTTTCCCCACCCCCTTGCAAATATTCAGTCTTCCAACGCCGACGTGAACATGACGAATTTCATTTCATATGCTTTAGTGGAAATGATGACTTGGCAAGGTTTAGGGGACCTTATAAATCGTTTCCGCGAACGCGTTCTGGGCTTGGAACCAATAAGTGTCATATGGGGCCCAGGAGTGCTGAGTCGACTGAAAATACCTTGCACATACTGCTGGTGAGAACCCCGTTTAACTGTCATCGTTAACATTTGCTCACATTCCTTACAGGTCTCCAGCTCTTATTCCTAAGCCGAAGGACTGGGGCCGACATATCTCCGTGTCTGGATTTTTCTTTCTGAGTCTTGCCTCCAGTTACCAACCTGAGCCCGAGCTCGCCGAATTCTTAGCTGCTGGACCACCACCTGTATATATTGGGTTTGGCTCAATAGTTGTGGATGACCCAAACTCTATGACATCTATGATATTTGAAGCCGTACAGAAAGCCGGAGTCCGTGCTCTGGTATCGAAAGGCTGGGGAGGACTCGGCAACGACTCTCTTGACCTCCCGGAAGGGGTGTTTATGCTTGGAAACGTTCCTCATGACTGGCTGTTTAAACATGTGTCATGTGTGGTTCATCACGGTGGTGCTGGAACCTCAGCTGCTGGGATTGCTCTCGGAAAACCTACCGTGGTTGTTCCCTTTTTCGGCGACCAACCTTGGTGGGGAGCAATGATATATCGAGCTGGAGCTGGGCCAGAGCCAATACCATATAAGGATCTAACTGCAGATAGGCTTGCTGCTGCCATTGCTGAGGCGCATAAACCGTCGACTTTGGAGAAGGCAGAAGAACTCGGGGCCCGCATCAGCAAAGAAAAGGGATCCGAAGAGGGTGGGAAAAGCTTTCACGATCACCTCGATTGGAATTCGCTTCGCTGCTCACTTGCACCGAATAGGGTCGCTGTGTGGCAAGTGAAGAAGACACAGGTTCGACTGAGTGCACTGGCAGCTACAGTCCTCGCCAATGAAGGCCTCCTGAATTTTTCGGATCTTAAACTGTAGGTGCTTCCAAACAAATAAAGGGTGCCTGGCTAACTGCGCAGATATCGGCCTCGTGAATATGACACGGATAATGGACCCTGGGATCCTATCTCCGGTGGCGCTTCCGCACTTTTCGGCACAATCGCAAGCCTGTCAATGGGTGTAGCTGATTTTCCAGTTGAGTTAATTAAAGCCTTTAAACCCAAGCCAGCATCAACTACCACGGATAAAACAGCAGCTCTTGACGAGGACGATGTACCTTCCCCGGCAGGCGGGAGTCCCTCGCCGCCGAAATATTTAGCCTCAAACTCACAATCGCAGTTGAGTTCGTCATCAGGAAGCCACAGTGGGCCAGTAGAGCGTTCAGCGTCAACAGATCAAAAATCGGAACAAAGTTCTTCTTCTCCCGCTCCAAAAGAAACCAAGAAGCAATTTGACCCCTCTGCTATTACATTAGAATCTGCTATTGGAGCTTCTAAAGGGATATCCCGAGTAGTTGGTGCAGGTATGAAGTCACCAATGGACTTCACGTTGGGTTTGGCTCGGGGATTTCACAATGCTCCTAAGCTATACGGCGACGATACTGTGCGTCCCCAAGAAAGAGTTACTGGCTTCCAGAGCGGATTGAGAGCTGCAGGAAAGGTTTGTTTACTCCTATTATATTCCCTTCCGTACGCGTTGCACTCCACCGCTCCAATTTGGAATAGTCGAGATCCATATTTCCACCATGACCACTGTTATATTCTGGGGAGACATCAAGACAAATATTGGCCAATAGGCTCTGTTATATCTGTCCCGTTGTATTTGCCGGTTTCAATGATAGGATAGCTGACTGTTCCCAGGGGTTTGGATATGGATTTTATGATGGTATATCCGGGCTTGTTACCCAACCCATGAAGGGGGCCGAAAAGGAAGGGGCGGCTGGCTTCATTAAAGGCATAGGGAGAGGTATTGGTGGACTTGTATTGAAGCCCGGTGCTGGTAAGTGATTTTCATTTGCATCCCCTAGTATATCTGCTAACAGTGGCCTAACCAGCAATATGGGGCCTCCCTGGTTACACGATGATGGGATTGCACAAGGAAGTCCGGAAAATGTTCGGAGCAAGTGTTCAGGCCTACATCATATCAGCCAGAACTGCCCAGGGGTACGAGCAGTGGAGGATCTCGTCCAAAGAGGAACAGCAGTATATTATAAGCCGTTGGCAGGGACTTAAATCCAAACCTGCAGAGTCATCGCGCCATGATAGTGGGAAAGGGAAACAAGATCCAAAAGTGCGATCTAGTGGCGATGGGTCGCAGGCTCATAGTGCGAACCTGGATGATGATGAAGAAGCTCTGCGCCGTGCTATCGAAGAAAGTATTGCACATGCTGCCGGACCTAAAACAGATGGCGTCTCCGAAGCCGATCAAAAGGCCGCTCTTGAAGCAGCAATCCAGAGAAGTCTCTCCGATTCCAAAGGACCTTCTGCTTCTACACACGCAAACGAAGATACAGAGGAAGAAGAACAACTAAAGCGTGCCATCGAAGAGTCCATGCGCTATCACGATCGGGATGTATCGGCAACAAAGACAGATGAAGATATTGTTATGGAGTACATCAAGAAACAGAGCCTCGCTGAGGAGGAACACAGGCAGGCAATGCACAAACCCGCGCCATCTGGAGACAAAGAATGATCATAGTAGCTTCTGATTAAGAGCAGACTATGATAATAGCTAGGACACTGAAATTAATGCTTCATTTCGTCAAATCCACTGTTTTGTGGGAACTAGTAGACTGCTGGATATTTCTCAGCTGCCTTTGTATCAAGACTTAAGTAAGACTACCGAAAATGAATCGAAATCTCCACTGTGACTTGAGAGGTATTCAAGTCGTATTGCCCCTATCCTGGTGGCATTTTATATGCTTTCTGCCACACGCTCGCATCGTAAATCATCCACAACGCCCTGAAGTAGGGGAGGAAGGAAGGAGGAAAGCGTATTCCACGAAAGATTGAGTGTCCAACGAGCGAAATCAACCTCTCCATATCCACATATCTGCAAATATAGCTCCGTCTATGTACTGCAGCCCATATAGAGATATCTCAAATACGAAGCTTTTTAGCGACGTGGTTGATTTCGGCATCGTTCGCAAATGAACCCTCAAGAGCTTCACGGATAAACGCGTCTGCTTCATCCTCCTTGTCATCCTGTATTACGCTGGCGCTAATAGTTGACATCTTCTCTAGCGCCCCAGATCCGCCTTCACTGCCAAAGCTGTCATAGCCACGAGAGTTCTTGAAACCTGAACGATCGAGACTATCGAGAGGGTTGGTACCAAGTGAACGATTGTTTTCAGCCGCTCGGTGTTTACCTACCCTCAGTTCATTAAGCTTAACATGACTTTCCGTCCCAGGGTAATCTTCAGGCCATACCCAGCCGAGACTGTTGTTGTTTTGCTTCGACATTGCCCATCGCCGAAGCTCCCGAACCCCCTGTAGGCCAATGTTGAGATCAGATGCGTAAATCATTAGCTCCATGGCTTCTCGCTCGTAGCAACGACCGAGAATGCTATCAGGAGGAAATGTGGCATTCGTTTCCGGGCTTTCTTTGTCATACCATGTGTAACCCCGCATGCATGGTGGGAGGCCTTGCGACACGAGGTCTTCGTACGTAGAACTTGAACGAACCACAGCCTTTGATTTCGGAGATGGTTGAGTCAATGTGAGACACCTGCCCTCGAAGAAGAGGTTTCCGGCCGGCGATTCTGCCTCGAGGTGTTCTAACACGTAAGATATTTCCTTGACGACCAAGACAGAATCAATGACTTCCTGGTCATCAATAGGCATGAGACGCACAGCATCCCCTTCAATGATTTTTTCCGCACCCAACCAGATCCCTCGGCACTTGAATTTGGCGTGGAGGGATTCTGATTCCGCCTCCGGAGAATCCGAACTAGTAAATATCCTCGTGAATGCGCAAGGATCGAACGGAAATAGTTTGGACATCGTATGAGCGGTTGGCATGATATTACTCTCCCATAGAGTTTGATCCTGGCCGTGTTGTAACTCTCGTAACATCGAAAATGGTCTAATGTGGCTGAGTTCCACATTTAACTTTGCTGGCATCGATTGGGAAAGCGAGTCTGATGGGAGGACCTCAACGCAAATCATTGGGGCCGATCTTTTCTTTCCTTTCAAGGCTGAAAATGCGAGATCTTCAACATGCGCTTCGCCTGGCTCTGGAGCGGACATAACCCGACCTGCTTCCCATTTTGGCCATCCACCAAACTGCCCTGTCTTTTCGTCAAAGAGCTTCAGGTACTGCGTGCTCTCATCCATACAAACTGCGGGCTCGTCGTTGTAAAAAAGCACAATTTCATTCTCTCTCGGCTGGAAGGAATGACATTCGTGGAGAATCGAATCGTATTCCACGTGGGGGTTAAAGAGACGATAGCTCCAGCCCATTGGTTCATTGTAGTTGAAATCCAACGCCAAGGTCAAGTCCCGGGCCTTCGTATTATGGCTTCGATATAAGAGATCGATATACTTTTGGGCAGGGTTGATATCAAAGACATCTCCTGGCAGCGCCTGGGGCTTGCGCCCAGACAGTCTCTGCCCATCTGGCTTCTGATAGGACTTGTTGGATTTGCAATTGACACACTCACATTCGGTCTGCCCTCCACTCATCAAGTGTTTAAAGTGGACAAAGAACTTAATTGGAGAGTCAAACTTTCCCTTTGGGTGTCCAAATAGATACCTGTCAACCTGAAGCTACGTTAGCCCCATTATGAACTTGATAATTGAGGTATTAACACACATGTGTGCCATTTTTCCGCGTCTTTGTGTAGATGCGATAATCTTTGGGCAAGGCCGATAATATGTACGTTGTATCTGTCATTCATGTTATTTATGCAACAAAAAAGAGGTGCCATTCTTATTTGCTCTCTGAATAGCGGAGTTGACATAGAACAGAATGGATATGCTGGAAGAAGAAGTGTGCGGGGGATTGCCCAAGGTTTGTGTTCACCAGGAGGTGGAAGTGAGATTGAGCGAGATTGAACAATAGATCGGACGGTATATAAAACGCGTGTGGACTCTGTGAGAAGAAAAAAAGTAATAGACTCGTTGAGACATATCTTACTGCACCTTTTGATGGTAATGTGTGCTTGCAGAATACAAAACTAAAGACGTACCTTTTCGAGACTGCCCAATACTATCCATCCACTGGGATCCCAACGACCTATGATAGTAATCATCATTTGGTTTAAAAATATAGCTTGATTCCGCGGGCCAGTATTCACTGCCACCATCTGAAAAGTCCCTCTCGAGATCAATGATAGAGGTCTGGCGCGGCGCTTGAGGCGCCATTTCTAAAGTCTTCTGGAGTTTGTTTTGCAAAATTGAAGAGAGAATCACGTCGGGGTCAAACTTCCCATCAACAGACGCTCCCGTGTTGAGATCCAATCATCAAGGATCATTGGAGATGTAATCATGTGAACTTGTGTTACAACATAAGGGTAATAAGGTTATAAGGTCAGTAAACATTGTCGATATCCACCATCTCGCTTCGCCAATGCGCTTAATTGCCGCCACCGACTGCTGCTGCTACTTTCGACGATCAACAAGCATTTGAGCCTCCCAGGGTGATAGCTTCCAGGAACCCTGATAACAAATAGCAATTTACTCATGTCTTAGAATAGCTTCAAATGGATATGTGGCGGCCTCATACACTACATCTCGTACAAGAAGTCGAAGCTTCTTGAAGCCATTATAATGAACCACGTAGATATGAACCAGACTGCCTTTAATGATACTTGACAAGAAGCAAGTCAATTAACTTCTATTTTACAGATTGCACCGTGGACCTAGTGTGCGGCACAAGTTACAATGTCTCTTGTAAGAACGTCCCTTGCCCTTGTAAAACAGCTTTTCTCGAACTTCCGTATCAATTATATCTAGAAATCCAGTACAGTCCGCGCCGCCAAAGCCGAAAATGCCGCATGTCTTAGAACCCCAGGTACAAAAGCGAATAACAGTGGAAACTCCCCAAAGTGGGCGCGTCGAATCAGCTGGAGAATCGGCGGGTGATTTTGGCGATGACTACGGGTCTGTTAGCGAATGGTTTTTTGTGTCATTGGGGAATGTATCATACCGTGTAAAGCAACAACGCTGAAGATAAATACAATAGACAGAACGAGAACAACGACGGGGTCGACCTTGAGTCCTGGAGACTCATCGGTGTACAGCTCTGCCCAAATTGTCAGCAAGAATCCACGCGCTACCAAAGCAATAAAACCTACTCAGCATTGTGCTGCTGCTTCCACCGGCGCCAGCCGCCCTGGTGCTGCTTGGTCGTACATTCGCAACCTTGTCCTTCTGGTCCGCAGCAGCTCTCCTGCGAATAGCAGTCTTTGGTCCACCGGGTGGCGTAGGGGATGATGGACGTCCGGAGTTCTGCACGCCCGAGGAAACGGGGGATGATGCACGTGGAGAAGACTGTGATGATATAATTGTCAGTCATAAGCAACATAGTAGATGTGGGTTCAGGAGCGCGTGTCTGCATTGCGCATTGAAACTGAATGAACCAAGAAAGTGAAGCAATTCCGCTTACCATTATTCGTGGGTGATGGTTTGTGTAGATGGGAGCGACCTGTAACTCGAGAACGAAAGTGGTTTGGGTATGGCGTTCTGAGTTTGAATCTCGAGGTTGATTGACAGGATTGATGTTCGTTATAATTGAGGCCACGATTACGGACATAGTGCCCACTTAAAACGCACTACTGTGCGGCGCGGCGCTTCGATTATCCGACCAAGTCCACTTTTGCTGTAGCTCCCCACAATCTAATCTAATCTGAATAAATGGAGAAAGGGGCTGATCTTCTGGCCCGCCAAGTATAAAACAAGCTGGGCACATGGCCGGCTGGTCACAGTTACTATGGTCACGACGAGACGGTTTATGCAATGACAGTGAGCCCAGCTGTTGGTTGAAACGGATAACTAGATTTCACTAAAAGGTGAATGTAGTCTTACACGGGTATATCATATGTGTACGCGTCCCTATGTTTTCGAAAGAGAGCTGTGAAATAACAAAGGGAAATCGCTTGATGCGTCGCAAAAATGAAAGTACAGAAACGAGTCTCAATGCCTCTGGTTATTGAATGGAGATATAATCCTCATCCTTCTTCATAGCCAGTCTGAAATTTGGCCAGCTTGGAACTTGGTGAAATTGGCCTCTCCTCCGTCAACCGACGTCCATCCACAGACGTCCCATCTGCTCCTCCTCGGAATTGATGCGTTTAATTTCCTGACGTTCGCCTATTCAGCGAGTAATGTCCCATGCTGATTATAAGTATTAAACAGTACATTCTATAATAGAATTGAAGATGTCAACCGAACTCCATCCGCTATGAGGCCAAGTTGCAAGAATGCATACTTTAAGAAAGTTAAAGAGCTACGTCCAGTACCAGACTGACATCGCGTACTTGGGACCCCGCAAGATCTTCGAGAACAGGTATCAAATCCAGTAGCTCATTGTCATGGGCATCCGAAAACCAGCTGCTTATAGGTACAGCATGCTGAGGGTGGAATATGTACGATGTTGGCGAATTGTCAATGATGATGGTCTCTCGTAGATCGCGGCCAACCTGGGACAGGTCTTTAACGTAATTGCCTTGATGGTTGTAACAGCTCTCTCGGAAAAGGCGATGGTGGACAACGTTGTGTATATCGAGCTGGTCCAATAGGGGATCGCCATACTATATTATATCAGATTTCATTTCAGGACAACTGGAAGCGGATATACTAACCTTGGAAACGGATGCTGTGAATACCACTACCTCATATAGCTCGCCAACACGCTTCATGAACTGGTCTACTCCAGGGCGCTTAATGACATAGACGTTGTGATACTGCCCCTCAATTTCTACCGGAATTGTAAAATCTGCCTGGTGCAAAATCTGGGATTTTGTCAGTATTATGATGCGTGAAGCCTTGTGATGGATGCAAATACCTTGAAGCTGCTGTGCACCAACGTTTCGTCGAGATCAAGGACCAAACATTTTTTCCCATTAAACCTTGGTTCAATTGGAGGTAGCAACCACTGCTGCTTTTCCTCAACGGTATCAGCAACAGATGGTCCCTGGGTCTGACTTAGCGCAGTGCCGTTGGTGCCTGCTCCAGCTATCGGGGGAGGTGGGGGTAATGTCGTATTGGCTGTATTCGTCTGTTGATCTCCCTCCACGTCTTTGGTGGTGTTGCCCTCTCCAGAGTCGCTCGTGTTAACTGTCGTATCAACCTCATTGTTTGTGTCATTCTGAGACGAGATGGGAACGCTGCTGTCTTGTTGGGGAATAATCGGAGTTGGCGCCTGGACAAATACCACAGGGTTTGATGCACCGGGGGCGTTTGTGTTTGCGACCGATTCCTCGGCATCTCGTGGTAAAGCAGGTAGCGGCTGGTTACGAGAATCCTTTGAGTTGGCATGCTGCTCGGCGACAGCTTGTTGTTGTTTGAGACCAGTTCCTTCAACAGATGGTCGGCCATCGTTATCGGTGGTATTATTTGGGACCATGGCTGCCTTTTCCGGTTGCGCAGATTTATGGCTTGTGATTACGTCGGGGACGGTTGACACTGGTTTGCTTGGTGTCGTCGCCCTAGCTTGAGAAGTGGTTGAGGTAGTCGGCTTTACAGGAAGAGCTGTTTCTTCCGGGTCGATCCCATTCGCACTGTCGGGAACGCCGCAGCAGTTCAGAAAAGACAAGAAACCTCGAGACTTCTTTGGCTTTTGCATTTGTGCTGATTGAGAAGATGTAGCATTAACTGTCGCCGGTGTGCTTTCAGCAGCTGCAGGAGATGTTGCCGATCTCTTACTGCTCGTTAAACTGCCGTTGCGCTTTTCGCCGATGATGCTGGAGTTGGACTTCCTTGAACCTCCCCCTATGCTGCCAGTTGGATCGCTGGCTGTGGCTCCACTGAGGGCTGTCGCGGTCGGCGAAGACTGTATCTTGTGCGACGATGATCGCGAAGGCACATGCAGGAGGGTATGATTCTTCTTTAGTGTGTCGTTTGTTGTGACTGACGATTCGTCGCCAACTGGTACAGAGGTCAGGTCGGGCTCGTTCGAAGTCTGGTCTCGTTGGCTGTCGGCGACTGAAGTGGAGATGATGTTAGCCTGGTGAACACAGTTCATCAACCATCGATGGATCCCAATAAATTGGATTGCCAACATGAATTTATGCTGGTAAGCATGAAGGAAGAGTGCGATGCTTACAATGGTTCGATGTGGTGGAAGCTTTCGATGTGTAACCGTTCTTCTGCTCTACTGTAGATGAGCGAACGGATTCATGCTCAACCGGCTGAGCGACCTCATTACTCATCGAGGGCGACTCGAGGCCTCGATAGACCTACCGTGATGCGCCGTGATTGCTGTTGATGCCTCGTCTTGATCCAGGCTCACCGCCGCACTCGTCGCTCGGTTGACCCGAGGCGGGTGTGGCTGGGCGCGTAATAAGGAGAGGGTGGAGATCTCGGCAGATTAGCTCGCGGGTTTGGGTTGAGTCGCGACAATTGGCGAAGTCAAGGGACGGTGGATAAATGGGCGACGCAGATGATGATATTTGTCCTCAAAAACTCCCAGTTGCGCGTAGTTGAGGTTACTGGGGGGTTGAGGTTTGATAGGATTTTGGTGGTGGTGGAGATGGGAAGGAAGGGAAGGCACGGGGGTTGGCAGAGGAGCAGGTTGGCGACTTTGGGGTTTGATTATTGACAAGAGGCTGAAGGCGATTGAGGCGGACGCTAGTAAGATGCAACCGAGATGATCGATTGGACGGTGGAACTGACATGAATGGTCAGTGCAGCAGTCACATCACACATAATTTGTCTTTGAAGGCATCCTATTAGGCCTATTAGACCTATTAGACCAATAAGACGAATTAGACGAATTAGACCTATAAGACATTTTGTATTAGAGCGTGTTAAGCCATGTTAGGCCATGTTAGACGGTATTGGCCTTATTGGGCCTATTAGACCTATTAGAGACCCCTATCCGTCGAGAAAGAGAGACACGAGACGGGGTACTAACGGGTGCTACGGGGCCTACGGTGAGGGGGGCCTACGGGTCTCTTTGAGTAAGGTACTCTGCAGTCCTAGACAGGCAGTACATTAGTTGTACGGGTATATAGGGCAGTAATCGCGGTATTTGCGAGTACTCGTTGTCTTAACAGCTGTTCGAGTACAGGAGAGAGTACAGGAGAGTACAGTAGCTCCCGTTTTACCGGCCTGTGCTTTCTCTCCTGGTTCTACAGTAACAAAGAGTAACAAAGAGTAACGATGGCGAGATGCGAGATGCGAGATGCGAGATAAAGACCTGCGTGTAAAGTACGGGCCGTACGGAAACGTATGTACAGTACACGTCGCCCACAGTAGTAGCGCATCTCTCAAGGTCAACATCAGCAGCTTACGGAGTATACTGTAGCACCGTATATAGCACCTCACCACTCTACGTAATACACCAGGTATACTACATATTACTACAGTATCTAGACTGTACTAGAACGCATAGTTAGTACACGTAGTTAGGATAACTAACCTCGATAGTCGAGTCGAGTCGAGTCGAGTTGAGGAGAGTAGAGTAGAGAAAGTAAAGGGGAGAAGAGCAGGAGGTTCACCTAGTTCAGTTACTACGTACGGAGTAGGTAGTTACTTCGTACATTCCGAGGACATGTAAGGAGTTAGATCGGACGGTTGGGAGTGGACACTATTGATGTCTAGCCAGTCCTATAGCCAGATAGCCAGTCACCACAGCCAGTCCCCACAGCCAGTCCCATCGCCAGTACCAGAGTTAGAGTAAAGGTGAGTGGGGTAAGCTCATGGCAGGCACGGGCGGTACGGCGGGTAGCAGGTCCCAGAAAGGGCGACCGCAAAAACTGGGGGAGAGGAAGAACTCCAATACAACAAACGGGAGAAGCACACACACCAACCACGCACCCCAACCACACACACCACACAAACCACAGACAGCCCAGGCACGTTACCTCCATTTGCTCTAGTGCCAATATACGCGCTGAACCCCCCATCTCCAACGGCAACCCATAGCGACCAATTCGGTAGTTTGCGCCGATGCTCTGGATTCTACACTGTACGGCGTGTGGTGGTAGGTATACGCTCCAATGCGACAACGGGCACCGCGCCCACCACGCCGACAATGTCATGTACACGCAATGCTTTATATTCTATTCTCGTATGCCGTATAAACTATGCTCTATCTATTGTGCACTTAATAACAAAATCGGACGAATTGCTCTCTCTTCCGTCTATCCTCAGCTACGACTACAGCTTTCATTCGGTCCTGTCTCTGTGATTGGCTCCTTTTGCTCCATACTTTTGGGCCTGTGTCCGTGATTTTTGGCGGGGTGCGATGGTCGCCCAACTCTCTCTACGCATGGTGGGGAGACAGAGATAAGATAGCCTGATACGAACAATTTTCTGCCAGTTGGACTTTCAAGGTCAACCAAATATGTATACCTTGGATGCCACTGATTCTTTTGCCATTGAGCAACCATCTGGCACATATGTCTACGACATAGTGCCCGTTGCTGGTGGCATCGTCTCCATCTCCTCTGACGACACAGTGCGCCTCTTCGATCCATCAAATCTTCAACAAGGGCCGGTGTACAGCGTACCGAAAGTTAATTATGAGGTCACATGCCTCGAGGCTCTTGATCACCAAGGCTCCATTGTGTGCACTGCAGGTAGAGATGGCAAGGTAACGATTCTGGACTTGCGACAGCAGTCGCGAGTAGCTCAAATAGGGACCAGTAAGACCTGTGTGATTTCTTTCAATAATTCCATCTGGCAACCTTGAACAGGAGATCCATGAACCCAGTTTCATACCCTGCTTTCCAGATACTGAACCCGGCATATTTTCTGCGTTGTACACCCTTTAGTCCATTAGAGGATGGGAGATCACCGATGACCTCCAATGCTACTTTCCACATAGCCATTACTGACAAGACCACCAGGACACAACGCCCCCATATTGTCTCTCGCAACATGCAAAGATGCATATGCAGTTGCAGCGGGCACGGAACTTACCAATGGCCAAGCAGAGGTTATTATATGGTATGTACACGTCATATGATAGATATATTCATGGCTTTTTACTTATTGGTCAAAGGGACACCCGAAGCCTCAATGCCCCAAGGCTTCAATACACAGAGAGCCATAATGATGATGTTACAGAGGTATGCTTCGATCCGCGTGCTTCCAAAACACCCAACCTTTGCTTGTGGCTAACTACGATGACTGGCAGCTTCAATACCATCCCACCGAGACGTCTATCCTATTGTCAGGGTCAACGGATGGGCTTGTTAACCTATACAACACGACGGTGCTTGAGGAAGAAGATGCTCTTCACCAAACACTAAACCATGGCTCGTCCATCCACAAGGCAGGATTTCTCAATAACCTTGACATATTCGCATTGTCGCATGATGAGAAATTTGCCATATATCCCATGATAACAAACACAGAAGCCAGTGTTGAAGAGCCGCCATCAACTCAGTTTGGCGATTTACGAGAAAGCCTTGGATGTGAATATGTGGCAAGTGTCTTTGGTAGACCCAATGGAGGTGTTGTTGGAATTGGGAGTCACAGGTAAGCAATAGACTGCGGGCATCGTTTCCACTGATTTAGCTGCCGGTTCTTGGAACATGCGGCGTATACTTTCCAAATGCTGACCAGTCAATATAGCCAGTCGAATTTTAGCCTTGTGCAGCTTAAGAATAGTCCTCCTTGGGCGATCTCGACTGAGTCACCTGTTACGTTATCTGGTGGCCATGGTGGGGAGGTCGTTCGCTCATTCTGCTTCTTAGACGAGGTTTGTCATACTTTCCAGCTGCTTAATACATTAATTAACGGTGCATAGTTTCGCATGATCATAACTGGTGGCGAGGACGGGCAGATAAAGGCATGGAGGTTCGATGGGTAGCTAAATTATCACCTCGAATTTTCCATTCTCAATTATCCCGTGTTAAGTGAATTTTTAACTAAGAATTGTTCATAGTTTGTAACAGTCCACAAAAAGGGCCCTGTATTACAATATTACATTCCTCTTGATTGTATATTTCGAGTAGGTTGAGTTGTGTGGTTTGGATGGTAAAGGTCGTAGTTGTGTTGTGAGGCTGGTCCTACCGGATAAATGTTAACCCAATTGCGGCTTATAGATGATGACAGCTTGGACTTGGAACAGATCGTGTGCTGCTGCAGTTCGGCAGAATGCTTCATTATCGCCACGAACATATAAGTTGTTGGCATGACACAACTGAATCTACATGCTGTGATGCATTTTGAGTCGTTCAGTACTGCGGGATGACCTCGTTGGTGAATGATTAGAAGCTACATCAGGGAGCTTGCAACATGAAGGGATACTGCCAACGGCGCATGCCGTTCATCATATGTACGTCGTAATTGCCCAGCAGCAACACCAGCCACTCACTGACAAGATGCAGTACTTCTACAGGTATTATATGTTACAGCTCATGTTCAACCGGCAAACGTCCATGCCGAAACCAATGACCTCAGTTCGAACAGCGATTCGCCTCCAGCTGCTCATTCAGCCCCCCAAAACGAACACGGCGAGCATGGCACAGAGTACTATCAAGGTGCGATTTCTTCAATTACTTTGATAATATTTATTAACCACAGAGTTCGTAGGTCTCGTCGGGGAAGCATTGTCCTTCTTGGAACCACTGGAGAAAGGGAACAGCCGATATGCTTCTCTCAAGACATCTCGATTTCCTAGTACCGCCCTTTACTACGTTGCCGAATTAATATCACAACTATACGTCGGCGCGCCTCCAACTGATCAGGGGACATCCGATCAAGAGGCTAAAGGGAAGGATGGCGGGCAGACCCTGACTGGTCCCCTGTCAGATGGCGTGGCTTTACTCCGCGAGTCCGCGAAGTACAACAATTCCGATGCCATATATCTTCTGGCGCAGATGAGCTTCTACGGCAATTTCTCTTATCCGAAGAACCTCACAGAATCATTCCAGAGGTATTCACAGCTTGCGACTCTCTCGGGCAATAGCTCAGCACAACATATGATCGGATTTATGTACGCAACTGGCGTTGGTGGAGTTGTACAACGGGATCCAGCCAAAGCCTTACTGCATCATACATTTGCGGCTCAGGCCGGTCATAGTAAATCAGAAATGACGGTTGCATTTCGCTATCAAAATGGAATCGGAACTTCACGTAATTGCGATGAAGCGGTTACTTATTATAAGAAAGTGGCTGACAAGGCAATTGCCTGGTATCGATCCGATGAACCAGGGGGGAAGACTTGGGTCTCAGACTCCTACAGCCTTGCAGATGATGATGGAGGAGTCTATGGCGAAGGTGCGAGCGCGTCCAGTGCAGGCATGAACTCGCAGCGTGGGGATGGAGGACTGGGTGCCCATGCAGCGTTAGACGATGTCCTCGAGTATCTCGATTTGATGTCTGGAAAGGGCGACTTCAAAGCTACATTCAGTTTGGGTCGCATACACTATAATGGCCAGAAGGGTCTCAACCGCGACGTGAAGGCGGCACGAAAATATTTCCAGGCTGTCGTCGGGCAATATTGGAAACGAGACGGGACTAAAGTGGATACTACGGATAAGCCTGATATCGAGAAGTTTGCTTGCAACGCCGCTGGCTATCTCGGCCGGATGTATATGAGGGGGGAGGGCGTCGATATAAACTATGATAAGGCACTACACTGGTTCCGGCGAGGAATCACTGGAGGGGACGCAGGGTCAGCAAACGGTTTAGGCTTGATGTATCTTCATGGCCTGAAGGTTTCCAAGGATGCACCTAAGGCCGCGGATTTATTTAGAGCGGCTGCTGACCAGGATTACGCCCCAGCTCAAGTTAACCTTGGCAAGTTGCACTTGGATCAGGGACGGACTGAGGATGTTCAAATTGCCAGAAGCTACTTTGAACTAGCAGCGAGATATGGTAATATCGAAGCTTACTACTACCTCGCCGAAATTGCGAACTTTGGCATAGGCCGGGATCGCTCTTGCGGCCTCGCAGCCGCCTACTACAAGACCGTTTGTGAAAAGGCAGAGCCGTTACTTTCTTCATTTGCCGAAGCAAACGAAGCTTACGCAAATGGCGATCGAGAATTGGCTCTTCTTGACTATATGATGACGGCAGAACAAGGCTATGAGAGAGGCCAGGCGAATGTGGCATATCTCCTCGACCAGGAAAATTCCATTCTGAAACTGTCAACCCTCTCCCCAATTTCCAAGCCGAGATCAATGCTGCTTGAAAACCCAGGCCTGGCTTTGGTCTACTGGACCCGGTCTGCAAAACAAAATAACATTGACTCCATGGTCAAGATGGGCGACTATTACCTTAATGGCATTGGCTCCGAGCCTGACATGGAGAAAGCCGCTGCATGTTACACTGCGGCTTCCGAATTTCATCAAAGTGCTCAAGCTCTCTACAATCTAGGGTGGATGCACGAGAATGGCATCGGATTGATACAGGACTTTCATCTCGCAAAACGATTCTACGATGAAGCACTGGAAACAAATGATGAAGCATACTTTCCAGTTACGCTCAGCTTATTGAAGCTTCGTTTGAGAAGTGCATGGAACACGTTGACTCACGGAAGGATCAACTCGATACGATATGAACCTGGTAAGTTCCAATACTTTTATTTATTTATTTGATGCTTACAACCATTAGCGCCCTCTAAACAGTGGTCCTTTTCTGAATGGATTAACAATTTCATGGAAGATGACCGCCTCCAATACATGGATTATGAAGAAGACGATCTACTTCATCGCGATGATCCAACATATGGGGCTGATGATGGGATGTATGATGATGTCATTGAGGATGGTATAGTCGAGAGTTTCATTATAATCGCGTTGGCAGGTGCACTTGTTTGGCTTATATACTATCGGCAACAGCGACAGCTGGCTCATAGGCAGAATGACCAAGGGAATCAACCTGTTGGCGGACAGCAAGCACAACCAGACCAGGGCGTGTTCCCTAGAAACGGTGATCCTGCATTTGCACAGTGGGCCGCAGGAGGAGTAGGCCACTGAGGATGGTTGAGAAAGAAGAGCTCTAGTTGTTTGATTATTGAAGCTCTATTCTGCATCCTGCAATTGGTGGATGGCTTCACAATTACTGTATTCCATATTAAATAAAGAAGTTATTATGTATGTGGTAAAAAATGACTGTGAGGTGAAGCGAGTGATTATGGCGGGAGTTCGCTCGCGCACCTCACCGTGTTTGTTTCAATCCCTCCGTAAAAAAATGTCCTCCACAAAGTAAACCTGTGGACACTCCCCAGTAATTATCGCCATGTCTGCGCAAGACGCAAAGCGACGCCGCGCAGACTCTACTGCAGCTGCGTTATCAAGACCGTTTCGATCTCCGTTTCGAGGCACAGCAGGAAAGCCAAACAGAGATTCTCAGGACCAGCCCAGTGACCTTGGCAGAACACAACTTGACCAAACAGCCTCTCCACGGAAGGTCTCCCATACCCCAAGAGCACGGAATTCTCCATCGTTCCCATCCAAGAGGCAACAAGGCGTCAATCTTTCATCAAGGCCCTCAGACACCTCAGACACCCAATTGGAAATTGCGGCACTTGTGAAGGCCCAGCGCCAACTAAAGAACAAACTACACAGCTTGGCAGAAGAACTACACCTATGTGAGCAAGCACACAAAATCGAGCGTGGTTCACCGGGTGCCGGGTCGGGTAGTGGGGAAGTGGATGGCGAGCTTCTGCGCCTGATAGAACGATGGAAATCAGCCAGCCGTCAAGCAGCAGATGAGCTCTTTGGCAGTGCCAAGGACAAGATAAACAGGTATGTGATGAGCTCCAAATGCCAAGCTCATAACTCAAGTCATGAATGGAGTTGGTAATGATTTGTTATAGAATGGGAGGTCCACAGGCTTGGAAAGAGATGCAAGAAAAACAGCAGGAGTTTCGAAATGAGTTTAATGCCGGGTTTGAGCAAGACTCCCGTGGTGAAATGGATGACAACGATGGAAGGAGCGACACAGATACAGGAGCCAACATCGAGTTGGAGACGCATAATGAGAGGGAGGCACGTGGGGGAAATGATGATGCTGAGGATTTGAATGACAAGGTAAGTCTGAATGATGGGGATAGTGACGAATATGGGTAACAGTTTGCTTTTAGGAGTTTACGATGTCGATGATGCTGAGGTCGCTGAATGTTGAGCTCGAGGTGATCGGCTACAGCAAAGAACATCAGATGTGGATAGATTAACAATGCCAAACGCGGGAATAGTCAGCTCTCAATAGCCATGAGCTTCTACCATAGTTACCAATAGCACATATGTGCCATACTTTCCAGCCTAACAAAGATAAAGAATATGGGGTGTAAAGCTCTCGCGTTGAATTGCATGGTCTATGTAAGCATTATATAAATAAGAGAATTCCGTGCCGCAGAGCTGATTCGTATAAAAGATAATCTATTGGTATCATGCACTCCGTCAATAGGAGAAATTCATGCAGCGGAGCAAGTTAATAAAGTACAGCCCACTCTCGGGTCACGCAACGTACAGCCCGTAGTATCACATTCTGAAAGCACCCAATCGTACTGTAACAGCAATAAACATCCCTACGCCGTCATTCCCAGGCTTTCTCTGATGAGGGCATATTGTTGGAGTTCTTGGTTTGTTGGCCTGGCCTCCGGGCCCCTGTAACGTATCGGATCTTGGTCTTTGCAGCGGCGAAGGGAGAATCGATACATAGCAGTGCTCGCGTCTAGAATGGTATATTCCACGACAGTGTAGAGTCCATCATATCGTATTCCCTTCGTCGGTGCGAATTTGGAGTTCTTATTTTCTGCTCGGAGGACTCGAAGAGGCTGTTCTGATTCGTAGGATTCCAACAAAAGCTTGGTGTTCTTCGTCGGAATCGAATTTTCGCTTTGCGTGCCACAGTATTCAATAGCCTAGAGTATGGATATTAGTATTTGGTATCAGGTATAGCTCCTGTGGGAATTAAAGGTATGCATGACCCGTAAAGGAACCGAACATAGAATTTAACTCCCAAAAGAACTGAAGATAAGTATAACTCTCAAAAGAACCGCAGATAAGTATAACTCCCAAAGAACTGAAGATAGGTATAACCCCTACAGGGATTAAAGATGGATATGACTCATATAGGAATTGAAGAACTAATAGATGGGGAAACATACCATTTCTTTGTCTTCGTCCGCATAGCCGCCTTGCGCCACAACCACCGAGTAGGTTCCTTTTCCCACCTGCCCATGAATGCCAGCTTCCTGCTCACCATGAGCACCATCCCTGAGAGCACAGATGCGGTTTGGCCACCATTGGCCATTGACAAGACAGTTTTCTCCAACTACATTTGCTGACTTCTTCATGGTATATTTCTTATCAAGCTTGTGTGAGGTACGCTTCATACCACTTTCCAGCCGACCTTTTTCAGTTGTTATACCCCGTAGGAGGTGAGAATCCAAATCTCCTACAATCCAGCGAAGATATAATGCCTTTGCGTCCGCACGCAGGTCAAAAGGAAAGTCGACGCCATCTTGGTTAGCAAATATCCGAGGTAATCCGTCATCCTCCAAGATCCTCGACTTCTTGATTATTATACCGCTAACGCATTGAAAAAACTCCATTTCGTGAAGTTTCGTACGGATCTCTGCAGTTATTTTCTTCCGCTCACCATCGTCTCTAGCAGCAACAGAGTTTTGACACAGTGTACGAAGATATGCCACCAATTGCAAGTCTCCACGAGAGTATTTCTCCCTCATGTCTATTTTTTCATACCACTCGGAAGACCGGATACGTGTGTCGACCGTCTGCTTGTTTGTATATGAAGCAATTGCCTTCTTCCTAGGAGCCTTTCGGCCGGGGCCATATCTTACATCATCCTTGGAATCAGGCGGGGCGGAGAGTGTGCCTAGCACGTCCAGGCTGGTTGAAGACTCGGTAATTTTGACGTTCAATACAGCGTCCTCTGAACCAGGCGAGGCGGAGAGTCTGCCCAGTACGCTCGTACTGGCTGGGGACTCGGAAACCTTGTCGTTCAACGAACCTGTCGCGTTGTTAACTTGGAATCCTTGGTCAGCCATTGGGCATTATTCATTTACCAGTAATTTTCCTCCTTTTCGCGGGCTTTAAACCCGAGAATGTGGATTTTATCTGCCGCAACGAGTCCTGCGTTGGCTCAACAGCTTGGGTTTGGCTATACTCTTTCTTCACGGCGGCGGCGACTGCATCTTCAGCCGCAATGAGGGCCATACGACGCTCTCGTGCCTCGGTCCGATTCTTTTCTAGGAGTTCCAAGACACCCATGATGCCGGGATGAGCAGATGGTAGGCCGGTTTACTACATGTACCAGCAAGTCGTCTGGATTAGATATTCACTGTTGGCGTCGAAGTGAGGCTGCTGAAAAGGATTGTAGCTGAGACGCCAGGTCAATTCAGGAGACTATGGGGTAATATGCTGGTTGTCAAATAGCGAGCAGCAATTTCATCACTTTGCAATTCAATCTCTCGAACGATAGCTTGAGTCGATGAGCTGAGAATGGAAGGAAGCATAGGTAGTTTGTTTGCTATGTTCGCCATCACGTGAGTTCGTTCGAGGTTTACAATGAAGTGCACACATCAACACCAATGGCTGGCACCATTGCCAATTCACGTTCCGACATACTACTGCATTACTTAGCACAAACAAGGGTTACATTATAATGCATTTATTGCCAGAGGTATTGTTCGTAGTTTCAAGTGAAAACATAGAAACGCGAGGACATCTCTTGACGTGACATATGAGTTGAACATCACTTTCATAACCACATATGAGTTGGACATCACTGTCATTATATACGACCGAAGTACTTTCAAATGTTTCATTGTCCCATCGTGGATCGAGCCTCGAGATCTGTATTTAACGCGAAAGCTAGAATGACAACTGGTTTGCATTGAAAGACCATCTCAATATATCCCGATCCAGCCCTCCTTCCGGTATTGCTCCTTTAGTAGAAAGTGGATGGTCGCTTGCTGGTGAACAGCTTGGTGCCAGCTGCCTTGGAAACGCGGTGAGGAAGAGGGAATTTGAGGTTCTTGGTGAGAAGTTGCTTGATGTAAGGGCGCTTGACGTCGTCGGTCTTCTCAAGCTCAATGACCTTGAGAATCTACACAAATTTCGTAAGCATGACTGGGCAAATCTTAGTTACAAGCAGAGACTTACGTGAATGGAGCGGAAACGAGATCTGTGCCTCGCGGCCATATCCTGGTAGAGAGCCTCAACAGCATCTGTTCTCGACATCTCACGGTACTCCTTGTACATGTTGTGGGTACCGGAACGAGAATCGTAACGGATCCAGATACCGAAGTTCTTGACCTTGAGAGGGCGCTTCTCGTGGATCTACAATTTCGGGTTAATCATATGGAATATCTCATGCAAATAAGTTGAACATACCACGTTCAAGCTGACGATCTCACCGTTGGCCTTCTTGACCTTGCGGAGCTTCATCAAGAAGTACCAGAAGCGGGACTTGGCGACCACAGTGTTAGGCGCAAATATGCGCATGCGGTACAGCTTTGGCGCTGGGTTTGCCTCGGTGGGCAGATGGCGGCCGATGACCTGGTATTCTGTGAGGCGACCTGTATTGAAATCTAGTTAGCCTGGTACTTTGGCTGAGCAACGTTGTTGGCAACTCGGTGGCATCGACAACTCCATTCTTGACATGGCGATTCGCGCTGTTCCTAGAAAACACAGGCCAACCCGTGAACTCTCACGTATTGGGCGCTGCGAACGTCGACAGTCGTCCACGAGTAGACGTAGATTCTGCTTCCAAATCCGCAAGTAATTTCGCAACAATATCCAGTGGGCATCCAACAATTCCTAGGATCTTTTCATAGAACTCTCATTCATGTCTGGCCTTTGATTCCCGCTCTTGTTGCTCAAATTGTGCGCCATGTCAAGAATTTGTCGTCGAGTTGTTGTTGGTCCGATGGTGTCCTAGGTAGTGGAATTGAGAAATAAAAATCGTTGCTTACCCATCTGTAAGTCTGTCAGCGCAAATTCTTTGATTATCGACTCTGGATATGCCTGGAAACTGACCTTGAAGTGCTGGCCGAGATTGTTGTCGTTATGTGGGTTGTTCGGAAATCCTCGAAAAGGTTTGTGGGAAGATTAAGCGAATATTCCCCACGTGATGTGCACAACACAAGCGAAACAAGCTACAAGCGACAGGCGCGAAATTAGCCGCAAGAAGCGGCAGCCCTTGTGGGTGTAGACCCTTGAGCGAATAATATTGTGAACCTTATTAGTGCCTTCAACGAAAGGTGGTCCCTGTTTTTGATACTGTAAGACGCCGACACTGGATGAAAATAGTATTATTTTTGGGTCCCAATCTAAAGATAACTCTGACGAGGTTACTTTACAGTATATAGGTTTTATTTTGTCAGGATTAACCGTTTTGACGACCACTGACGCTGTGAGGGACAACGGCTTGGCACGGTTTACGGCACGTGATATTGACTGACTGTTTGCATTCGAAGTAGCATCCCACTTTGTTCACATTGACCTGCTGGGAAGACTGAACCATCTTTACATTACACTTTCGCCTGCTGTTTCTCGTGGCTGTTTGAGAAGCCAAAGACGAAGCCAGATAGATCGGGTGCCAACTTCTAAACACTTCTGTTTTGAAATCCATTGTCTACGTCGTATCTTCACAACCAATCGACAGAACTTCCCTTGTTGGGAGACATACCAGGCTTTGGTCCCTGTCTTACAAATCTGAGTGTGGTCCAGACGAAACACCCAGATGACAATAAGCAACGATTGAAATGGAGTCTATTTTCAAAAACTTCCGAGAGGCCCACATTGCTGGTAACGGATACCAGCTGTCTGATACCCTCCTACCAATTTCACACTCTGAAGAACCCGGGCGCTTGCATAGTTTCTTCAACAGCACCAATGCCGCGAATGTCAAAAGTGACATCCAATACAATGTGTTGTATGATAGACAGTCTACTCTCAGACTTTCCACCGAGGAAGGAAAGGCATGGGTCGATGTCTATACTGGTTATTGGACAGCTGTTGGTGAGATCATAAAGGCTGAAGATGCCCAGAAAACCAATTCACCGGTCAGAAATATTTCCGCATGTCCTGGTCTCAAACTTCCTTTTTAAAAAAGCAAAGCGTGCCTATGTTGTCGTCACAACACCATACACGCTGCGGAATTGATTCTGCGAGGCCGCTATTCATAGCTATCACGAGTTATAAGGTTGATTAACTAACTTTTGACAGGTCAACTGGGTCGCTGTCTATGAGACTTGGAAGGAGATGACGAACGCGATCATTCGTGGATATAGTACCGGATGTTTTGAAGCATGGACAATTCCGTGCCTCTACATCAGTGGAAAATACTTGCGGATATTTGCCATAAAAGCCGATGCTGCAGGCGGTAACACGGACAAGGCCATGGACTTCCAAGACGACTTCAATCCAGATACCGGAAAGAACGAAAAACTCGAGGATGCGGCTCGAGTCTTGAATCGGATGTTCCAGTTATGCGTTAGCGATAGGTACAGCATCTCCAAATTTATCACCGGTGGTTTCTAATCTTTGTTAGGGCCCCTCTCGAAGATTCACGCAAATGGGGCATCTATAATATCGTCAACCTTCTGTTTAAGACCTACTTTAAACTTAACTCCGTGGCATTGTCTAAGAACATCATCAGAGCCCTCCAGGCTTCCCGAGGTGATATACCGGATGTCGAGTCTTTCCCGAAATCCCATCAAGTAACGTTTAAGTATTACATGGGCGTCATTCAGTTTCTAGAAGAAGACTACAAACAGGTACTTGATCCCATTCCTTATATGGTTGAGCATATCTAACAAGGATCTTAGGCAGAAGCTTTTCTGACACAAGCGTGGGAATTGTGCCACAAGCAATCCACCCGGAACAAGGAGTGAGAACTTAACCAGTTGCTTATTATATGGTTACTGACTTTGCACAAGACTCATTTTGACATATCTTATACCTTGCCACCTTCTTACTACGCACACCCTCCCAAGCGAAACACTGCTCGCCCCTTACCCACGCCTCCAAGAACTATTTTTACCGCTTTCTCGATGCATTAAGCGTGGCGACTTGACCGGGTTTGATAATGCGCTTGCAGCAGGGGAAGACGAGTTTGTCAAGCGTCGTATATACCTAACTCTCGAACGAGGCAGGGATATTGCACTGCGAAACCTCTTGCGGAAGGTATTCGTTGCGGGTGGGTTTGAAGAACCCAACGACAAAAGCTCTGTCCCAGTGAGGCGGACTCGTGTTACTGTCGCAGAATTCAGCGCAGCGATCAGTATCGGAAACAAAGAGAAGCTAGATGACGATGAAGTCGAATGTTTACTGGCAAATATTATATACAAGGTCAGTGCTCCAACCGAAGGATGTGCCAGACGTCGGAGCCTTTTGGGACATCTATTTGTAGATTTTTCAACGCAGGCCCATCACTTGCCTTCCTTCACGACTCCATAAATAGCGAAATTACTAACACTATTACAATAGAACCTTATGAAAGGATATATCGCCCGAGAGCGCGGAATCGTCGTTTTGAGCAAAGGCGGCGCGTTCCCAGGGACGGGCATATGAAGTGGCTACAAAGAATTGGTCGCGAGAGACAGAAAGGAGAAATGGGCGATATCCTTATCGCCAAACGTTGTCCGCGGGATAGAACTGGATTGGTTCTACTTATGGACTTCTGAAATAAACCCAAGGTCTGCTGGCACGTGTGCCAATAACTAAATTTGCTACCGACGAATGCCATCGGAATGGGATTAGCTGCTTTGTATACTGGGATACTGGCACGGCTGCAGATTATGATGGTCAATAATGCATTAAGCAGGTATCATATGGTGTTGCTTGGTTATCTCCGGGGTGAGTGTTAATGGCTAAAACATGCATCCCATAAACATATTAGGCCATAGATTGCAAGGGATAATCCAATGGAATCATCATTTGCAGCAAGAAATATTTTACCGTAGGGGCAGTTCGAGAAGCATACACGGAATAGTGGAGTAAAGTTCACCATCACATGTTGCCTTCAACCATGCACAGCACGTATGGGGAAGAACTCTCAGTAAACAACGACTGTGTATCTATCTATGCCCAAGGGTTCAGTCCTCATGGCCGACTCTTAACGTTTCCGAATGTTGAGTCATAAATAATACATTCAATTTGGATTGTCCCATACTCAAAACAGGAGATGGTCCCTTCAGCTGCAACTAACCAACAAAACAAACGGTCATAGGTATCGCGAGGCACCAAGCCTCAAGCAACTAAGAAGAGTATTTGTACACTTTCCCAAAACGCCCCATAAAACTATCAAGACACACTTTTTGTCACAAAATCGGTTAATGAAAGTCGAGAAATGAAGAGATCCGTAACGCCCCAAAGACGTTGTCTACATGTGTCGAACACTGCGTGGCGAGTTCCTATACACTGACGTTAGATATGTCTGTGAGTGACACACTCGGAAAGAGAAACATACGCAGCGCTGGCAATGTCGTCGACGTGGTTGCAAAGAGCGACGAAGAGATCAAAAAACAGTTGGCTTCCACCCGAATGCATCTCTAGTTGCATTGTTCCACTTCGCTTGAACGTCCCACGGCTTCTAATAATTAATGCCAGATAATGGGCTCGTAGCTTTGAATCCGTATCCGGGGTATTGGCATAGGCATAACGTGCCGATGCGAGGATGGTGCTGCACTGAATGCCAGACTGGAGGCCTTGCTTGCGCAAAGCTACCTTCTTCAACTCTTCAAGTCCATACTTCTCTGCCGTGCAGTATATAACGGTATCCTTCAAAACTTCACCTTCTATTCCATGGTGGTACACTGTTGATTCCATCGCTGGTGCTCCAGCCTCTTGGCTTTGCTCGAGCTCCCAGGTATTCCTGCGTTTGTTGAACGCAAGGCGGGGATAGTAATCCCCTTTGTATAGATATTCGAGAACCGACGAGAAAATCTCGGGTTCTTCATCGGGTAATGTAATTCGTTTGCTTTGAGCCTCCATGAACTGGCCTCGGCAGGCTTGTTGAAAGAAAGGCGACAGGCTCAAGACATCTTCGTGAGCAGCAAAAATCCGTTGCTCTCGACCCACGATCAACGTGATTATCGGGGAGGTTATTGTGCTTTGATGGAATTAGCCACAAAATGAGATGAAATTGATGGAATGCTGCTTACCTTGAAAGGCGTGGGTTTTCTCTCTCTTCTGGAGCAGGCCTTCTCGACTTCTCATGGCGAGTTTTCGAAACAGCATGTTCTCGAAACGAGCCCTTCGATCGACCGGCTTTCTTTGAGAAGCTTTCTGTTTTTGACTGACTCGGTCGGCGAGTGAACATGGCTCTGGTTTATGACTGCTGTCTCGGTCGGGTTGGTAGCCTAGCGACCGAGTCGAAGCACAGTCGATAAGAATCCAGTTATTCAAACGGCTTCAAAGGGTGTATCTGGTTTAATTTTGATGAAACAGGCAAATATGGTCAATATTGTCAATATTCTATGGATGGAGTCGATAATATAGTACAGAAAATGGAAGAAAGAAGGGGAGAAGGGGAATTATATATGCTCATTCAGGGGAACAACAGGGACAACAGCCAAGGTTACTATAGGAAACAATGGGGAGACGCGGCGTGGAGCCGGATAACGCGTCTTGCCTGAATTGGCTGCAACCACTTTACGCGAACCAAACGCCTGATCCCGTGAGTCAACAGAATCTCGCAATTGACATGGGTAGCCCTGGTAAACCTGGTAAGTCTGGTAAGATCTGGTCCGAGAATGTGACAGTGCGGCAGAAAGTCACAGTTACCGTATGCACGCACTGGCACCATAAGATACTGGTGGTTGCACCAGCAAACTTGATAATTAGTGGACCAACGGAAATGAGGCCCAGAAGGAAATTGTAAGAATATAAAAGATAGGAAATAATAGTCGATGGACTCAAGCAAGGAAACCAGAAGAGTAGAAAATAAGCACAGAGTCTAGCTGAGTAACAAGGCGTTGGCGTTGTGAGGAATTGTGCTGTAATTCTTGTTGCCTATCAAATGTCTACAAAGTAAAACCACCACCAGAGCCTTAAAGTAACGCACCATTGCCCTTTCATTCACCGAGCTACATACCACATCACGACAAGAATCTGACTCGTCATTCATCCAACGTGTGCATCGTCGCAAACTCCTGCCACATTACCTGACCCGTCGATCCTTGGCTTCAATCATCACATCCCCGCCATCCGCGATAATGGTGGAAATAACTGAGGGAGGTACCCCTCCTCAAGCTCCCCAGGGCGACGACCAACACTCCAAGTCTCCGAGGGACAGCAAAGGATGGGATGGCAAGCTACGCGTTGAAAGGCGTCCGGTTATGACAAATCCAGAAGCTATTTCCGACCCAGAGTATTCTGACGAGGAGAACATCCTACCAGGGGAGCAGATCGGCCCAGATGAGGGTATGTGAGATGAGACCACAAACGCCCCTCTGGTCGCCATGCAGGCAAACATACTGACCGGGTATCTACAGATCTCCTTCAAGACGAGCCATCCGATGTGGAGGAAATCGACTGCATACATTCACGAGTCGCCTCAGTCCCCTCTCTCAACCTGGATAGGTTCACGAAGCTTGTTCGTCTTTGCCTGCGACAAAATGCTATCACGGAAATCGAAGGGCTCTCGAGTCTTGCGGAAACTCTGAGAGACCTGGACTTTTATGACAATTTAATATCACACATCAAGGGCCTGGAAGACCTGACGAACCTCACCAGCTTGGACTTGAGCTTCAACAAGATCAAGCATATCAAACGTGTGAACCACTTGACGAAATTGACGGATTTATACTTCGTGCAGAACAAGATCAGTACGATCGAGGGCCTTGACGGCCTGACACAACTACGAAATCTCGAGCTTGCTGCGAACAGAATACGAGAAATCCAGAACCTCGATACACTCACTGGCCTGGAGGAGTTGTGGCTTGGGAAGAACAAGATTACAGAGATGAAGGGCTTGTCGTCACTGTCATCATTGAAGATTCTCAGCATCCAGTCAAACAGAATCCGCGAGATATCGGGCCTCGAAGATCTACAAACCCTGGAAGAACTATACATCTCCAACAATGCTCTGAGCTCCCTCTCCGGCCTGGAGAAAAATCTTAAACTAAGAGTGCTCGACATCAGCAACAACACTGTTTCCAGCCTGGCTGGTCTAGGACATTTGGAGCAGCTCGAGGAACTCTGGGCAAGCTACAATAAGATTGATAGCTTTGCGGACGTGGAGAAGGAGCTGGCTGATAAGAAACAGCTGACCACCGTATACTTTGAGGGCAACCCCGTGCAGCTGAGGCAACCCGCGCTGTACAGGAACAAGGTTCGACTGGCTTTACCACAGATACAACAGATTGACGCTAGTAAGTATCCCAAGACCAAACAGCACGACACGGCAGCACCATAGCTAACATTTACGTAGCATTTGTGAGAGTAACATAGGATCTTGCATACCATGTGCTAGTATCACAACACCGAGCACAGATACGCTTCATTTCACAGAATGGCTTCGTTCCAAGCTGAAGATGATGAAGGACGTATTTGTGGCTTTTGCAAGTTGAGCCGCAGCAGAGCCTGAATTACGGGGAATGGGACTTCAAGAAGTGTATGATTTAAAGACCAGAACATGTCACTATGTATTGGTAAAGGAGACTTCAAACACTGAAGTGTCAGTTCCTCATGACGATAATGCGATCGTTTCATACGGTGCGTTCTGATACATTCAAGGCGAGGGTATCAACAGTCACAGAGCACCCAACAGAAGACTGTGGGCATCAGGATGGACCATAGCTGCCAAAGAGATAACTTTATAATATGTATTGTTGATAAATCCTGTCTACATGCCCATCTACGCGAAAATATGAAGGGTGCCGAGGTACTAAAAATTGCCATGTCAGCTACTTTTCTTGTAAGGTGGATATATGCACATACATCAGTTGGGTTGTTAAACCTGAGGTTCTTGTTTAAGGCGGAGATCTCGTCAATCTCGGACTGCTCGAGGTTGAAGTCGGTAACATTTAAGTTCTGCTCCAGTCTGCTCTGGGTGTTGCTCTTGGGGATAATGGCCAATCCCCTCTGTGTGACCCATCTCAGGATAGTCTGAGCAGGTGTCTTCTCGTGCTTCTTCGCAATGGTGGTGATGGTAGGGTGCTCGAACAGAAGAGGGGTATCGGCGGCCTTTTGCCAGCCGAGCTCGAGGAAGGAAGATGGGCCAAAGGTGGAGTAGGCGGTGACGGCAATGCCCTGCTCCTTAGCCAGCTTGAGGAGGGTCTCCTGGACGAGGTATGGGTGGTGCTCGATCTGGAGGACAGCCGGGCGGATCTTGGCGTATCTGAGAAGGTCGAGGATAAGAGCGCCCTGGAAGTTGGAAATTCCGATGCTCTTTGCGAGCTTCAGATCAACTAACGACTCCATCGCGGTCCAGGTCTCTTGGATGGACGCGTTGCTGAGTTGGTAATCCTCCTTTCCGTCGAAAGCCCATCCTGGGGGGTAGCGGACCTTGGGGTCAACGTATTTGAGGGCGATTGGGAAGTGGATGTAGAAGAGATCGAAGTACTCAATACCCCAGTCAGCGAGCTGCTTGCGGGCAATTGGCTCGACCTGCTCCTTGTCGTGGAAGCTGTTCCACAGCTTGGAGACGATGAAGAGATCCTCGCGCTTCACCAGACCCTCCTTGATGGCACGGGCAACACCCTGGCCAGCCTCAACCTCGTTTCCGTAATCTATAAGTCGGCTTAGCATGTCTTGTCGCAAACCAAAATGGCGGAATGGGGGAGCGTACCACAAGCTCCATCGAACAGACGGTAACCAGTCTTGATGGCGTTGTAGACGGTGTCGGCGCAAGTGTCGTTGCCAACCTTCCACAGGCCGAAGCCTACTTGTGGCATCTCAAAGCCATTGTTGAGCTTGATGTTTGGGACAGGCATCTTTGCGAAACTGAGTTATAGAGTTGTTTGGAAGGGTATAAAAATAATAACAAAAGGCGCTCTACTCAGGATCAAGGCTGCTCAGAATGTCAGTTTCGTGGGAGGGGAGGGGTGCAGGTGGTATATATAAGTTGTATACTCACAGCACTATGGGGCAAGCAGGCTATTTCAACGGCTGTTTTATCAGGAAGGGCAAAATGGGGACCAGGGCGTCGTCTCCAAGCTTATATCCCAATCAATAATGAACACAAGACCACAAGCGCAATAAAATCGAGGGTTTTTGGGGTAGGCAGCATCCAGTGTACAGGTGGGTTTAGTCACTGGCAAAATGACGGAAGGAGGGGTTGAGGATTTGAGGATGCTATAGGTGGGGTCAAAGGGTGGAGGGGAAGGGTGGAGGTGGAATTTCTATTTCGACCTGTAGTAAGGCCAGGACAGAGAATAGGGCTCCTGATTCCATAGATGATGCGCTCAATGCCGGCCAAAATCTCCAAAAATTTCGCCGGACTGTGGGCGGAGGGTGGCGGGGTTTGTCCATACTATCCCATTACTATCCCATACTATCGAGGAGTTGCTTCTACCGCTCTACCGCTCTACCACAATCACAGTAAAAGATGATCGTTCAGGTGGGGCGGAGGGGTGGTGGGGGTAAAAGAGAAATCACAACAGGCTAATGTCACCCCGAAGTCACTCTGATACGGACTCGAGTGTTTAGATAGTACGTCAAGGTGCCAAAACCACACTCCAGACCGCCCACAGAGCACCATATGCTACTTCAGAGTACTCCAGAGGGTTGATAACTGTACCTCGATTGTGTTTATCCAAGGCCAAGGAGCCAAAGAGCCAACTGGAGCCCCAACGAGTCTAAGCATCGTCGACCTATTTACCCGGCGGCTATTTACCCTCAACCCTCAATTATGGGCATCATGGGTCTCGTTCCACAGAACAGTGGGACGAGGTGGTGTGTGTTGATACTGAGACAAAACGACTATACTATGGTTCTGTTATTCTGTTGTTTCTAATCGGATGAATGTCGGTCTTGGAGAGGGGAATTTGATAATGTCACCCTGGCAGCTGTACCCATTGGAGCAGTGCCTTCCGTGGAAGCCGTGCAAGTGCCCGTGCAAGTGCCTGATCATCATAGCGATTCATACGCAACGATTCGCAAGAATGGATCTATATTCACTCCCCGCGCCATTTGTCCGCTGTCCGCTCATATTTCACCGTGGCCGAATTAGATTTAGCCATTGAGGACAACACCGACCAAGACAAACCAACCGGGAGTTGGACAATCATACGTACGGGGCAAAAGGACAATTACCCCCGTATGATTATGGAATAGCGTCGATGATGATTCTAATTTAATTTTCTAGCGGCGATTTTACCTTCTTCAAATATCTTTACCCTTGAGACCTTTTGGCCCTCTGATCTTTTATAGTTGATATAAGATCCAGCTTATGTCACCATGTGTTTAAGCCCTTAATACTCTTCCCAAATAGTTGCACCTAGATTGTTGATGACATAATCACTTACTAATCATCCGATAACGCTAAGATAACACAGTGTGTTTGGTGGGCGCAATGCTTCTCGGTGCGCTGGAAAATGACCGCATAGCCTTAGAGCCTTGGCGACCTTTCACATGTCGATGATGGATCGTCCCGGCACAGCGCCAACTCCGGTTACAACAGCTCTAACTACACGTCTTCGAATCCCAACAAACTATCAACGCGCACGACTATAGCCTCCTGTCGCCAGATGCCAGTGAGAGGATAATGTGAATAAGAGAGAGGCTGCTTTGTTGTTAGGCTTCTATCTGCTGTGATTCATAAACGGCCGCGGTAGAATATCATGGGTCGAATTGAAGGGCATTGCTGAGAACAACCCGGCTTGGTTTAACACCTTTGAGTGCAAATATGGCTGTACAATCTACACTGAGGAGCGTGGAGCCTCTCAAACGCCTGCACGCCTATTATACGAAGCTGTTCATCGGAAAATATAAGGCAACCTCCCGCTCTACGCGCCTGCTGGCAACACTTGCGCTCCTCCTGTCAATTATTGCCAGTGGAGCCGGCGGACGGCGATGGTGGAAGAAGAAGGCCTCTGAGAAGGAGGAAGGTCGACGCTTGCTACGGAGGAATTCAGGGCTCAAGAACAAAGATGGGTCCAGGACACTTGTCGTACCCTACGGGGACGCGACATCGAAGGTTACAATTCACCCGACGAAGCCGACGACTTTCGACGCTCATCGCCGGCTATTCCTTAATCCACCGCGCGCCTCTGGAATGGTAGATGGCCAGCCTACACCGCATTTGCAGGCAAAGCCCGGTCTTAACCTGGCATTTCTTCACCAGTTCCTGAGCCTTTTGAGCATTATGATACCCAGGTGGCGTAGTAAGGAGACGGGCCTCTTGCTAAGCCACGGCGTTTTCCTACTTCTTCGCACGTACTTGTCTTTGGTTATCGCAAGACTTGATGGAGAAATTGTTCGAGATCTTGTTGCGGGCCACGGAAAGTCTTTTACCTTGGGCATTATCAAGGTATGTATGACGCGCATGCGCCTACCTCCTTCAAATGGCTTGAAACAATAACTAACAAATCTCAGTGGTGTGGCATTGGAGCGGTAGCCTCTTATACAAATGCCATGATTAAATTCATGCAATCCAAGGTTTCCATAGCTTTCCGAACACGACTTACAAGATACATCCACGATCTATATTTGAACGACAATCTGAACTACTATAAACTCTCCAACTTGGACGGCGGCGTGGGCCAGAGCGCTGATCAATTCATTACCCAAGATCTGACACTATTCTGCACGTCTGCTGCTAAGCTATACTCCTCATTAGGGAAACCTTTCGTTGATCTATGTGTGTTCAATTACCAACTGTATTGTTCACTTGGACCTCTAGCCTTGAGTGGCCTTCTCAGCAATTACATATTGACTGCCACAATTCTACGAAAGCTATCACCAAATTTCGGAAAATTGAAGGCCATAGAAGGCCGCAAGGAGGGCGACTTCAGAGGGCTCCACGCCCGACTTATTGCCAATGCTGAAGAAGTTGCCTTTTACGGAGGAGCTGACATGGAGAAGGCATTCTTAAACAAGGAGTTTGTGTCACTGAAGAAGTGGATGGAACTCATTTTCACCCTAAAAATCAGGTACAACATTTTGGAAGACTTTGTCTTGAAATATAGTTGGAGCGCTTACGGCTATCTTCTCACGGCCCTCCCTATCTTCCTCCCATCGTGGGGTGGAATTGGAGGAGCTGCAGAGCTTATCGAATCTACGGTCAAGGGAGGCAGAGAACAAGGGCGAATGAAGGATTTTATCACCAACAAACGCCTGATGCTCTCGCTTGCCGATGCGGGCGGACGGATGATGTATTCCATTAAGGATCTATCTGAACTCGCAGGGTATACCTCTCGAGTATACACCTTGATATCAACCCTACACCGAGTCGAGGCGAATGCATATTATCCACAACGTGGGACTAGCGCGGAGTTATACTCCCTTTCGGATGTTCAGGGTACTACCCAGAAGGGCTATGATGGAGTACGACTGGAAAATGTCCCAGTAGTAGCTCCATCGCTGTTCCCCAATGGAGGCGATGAGCTGGTCGACTCCCTGTCGATCATCGTGCACTCTGGGGAGCACCTCCTAATCTCCGGTGCAAATGGCGTTGGAAAGAGTTCCATCTCGAGGATCGTAGCTGGGCTATGGCCTGTATACAGAGGCCTTGTGAGCAAGCCTCGCAGTGTTGGCACTGATGGGATCATGTTCTTGCCACAGCGCCCTTATCTAAGCGTTGGGACCCTTAGGGACCAAGTGATATACCCTGATGGGGAGTTCGAAATGAGGGACCGGGGTCGCAGGGATAGTGAGCTCCAGCGTATTCTGGAAGAGGCACATTTGGGATATCTCCCAGAGCGCGAAGGTGGCTGGGATACTCGCAAGGAGTGGAAAGATGTGCTTAGCGGTGGGGAGAAGCAACGGATGGCGATTGCACGATTGTTGTATCACGAGCCCCGATACGCCTTTATTGACGAAGGCACCAGCGCTGTCTCGAACGATGTTGAGGGCGTCCTCTACGAGACAGCCAAGGATAAAGGAATCAGTGAGTCTCACCGCATGTTTACCATCCTCATTTTACTAACTCGAATAGCTTTGATTACAATCTCGACGAGGGCATCTCTAAAGAAATACCACACGTTCAACCTCACCCTCGGCCTCGGCGAGAATGGGGATGAATGGGAATATGAGCGCATCGGAACAGAAAAGGAGAAGATGAACGTGGAGAGGGAGCTCCAGGAGCTTAGAGAACACATTGGCAAAGTCCAAGAGTGGAAGGACAGGCACGCGGAGATTGAGAAGGAGCTGGCAAAGGTATGGGTTGACGGCGGAGATGTCTTGGAGGCCGCAGAGGTGGAAGTGGGCACTGAAGAGGGTGGCCAATAATATGTAGTACGATAAATAAGAGCACATTAAAATCATTGTATTGACATGAGACGCGTTTGATAAGCAAAGGCTATAATATCTATTCCTGAAACCCTGCGATGCATTTGTCGCAAACCCAACCATATCGACCGACCAGTCCGTTTCCCCCCTAAACGCCATCCAATTCGCAATATTACCACACCACTACGTGCAGTAAAGGGTATCATATCAGGAAGTAGTAATCGTCTACTGCTCAAGATGAGACCATTCCGGTATCGCCTTGATCTGCTGCCACATAAACTTCTCCAGTTTGTTGGCCGACTTCGCATACGGCGTCGTCTCGTTATTGTACTTCCGGCAGTTATCAAACACTAACTTCGCATCCTTGATGAAATCTTCCGGGGTGGCATAGTTGTCTGCTTCCAACTTTGTTTCCATGGTGGAGAGGTCCATGGGCTCCTTGATGACCTCGTAGTAGTCCGCCACATCCTCTCGGCTGACAGGGTGCAAGAACGGCCATGCAGACGCGTGGTTTTGCATGTCGTTAAGCAGATGCAGTAATTGGCTATAGTTGGGGCCGTGGCGCGGTTGCCGGGCAAGTTCATCCATATCAGCTGACCAGCCAGACGCCCGGATGGCTTCGATTTGCATTGGGTCGATCTTGCACGGTCCATTCTTCCATTGTTTGGGCGGCGGATGGACCTTGTGGGATTTGCTGAATGCGCGGATCTTGGCGTGCACTGCTTCCTTCTGCTTCAACAGCATGCGACCCATCTCCAAGTATCGGATTTTGGGCAGCATTGTGCACTGCATGATCGTTCCTCCTTCATAATCTTTGATGTATCCCATCCACCGAGGCTTCTCGAGAGTGATTTCCTTGGTGAAGCCTTGCTTTTTGAAGTAGCCAATAGCGTAGTTGTCAGCATACGTCAGAAAATGCATAACGTCCGAGGTAGCTTTGACATAGTCCTTTAGATGTGACATGAGATGCGCGCCGTAGCCCTTGACTTGCTGGTCCGATGAAATCGCGCAGAAGACGATTTCAGCAAATTGTCTTCCCTTGAACGGTCGGTATGTGATCCCCCCAACAACTTCCAATGGTTTCTTCACTATCGCGATAGACAAGTGCGTTCGATCGTACACCAGCCGTGCGATATAGTCTTTGGGCATCTTGGGGAGTTGCTTTTGGAAGATACATTTGAGGCCGGTGAGAATTATCAGGCTTTCGCGCTGGTTGTCGTTATTGACGACTCGGAACTCAATTTCGCCATTTCGCTCTTCAATCACTGCAGGCTTCAGGATGTTAGCTTCGGGGTCCTGCGCATATACGGCACGGTGGCAAGCATGTTCCACTCGGGTCGTCCATTGTCCTGATGGGGGGTATGTAAGCTCACCTTCTCGGGGAAGGGCACTGGATGCGCTGGCAGTGCCTGTATCTTCTTTGGCTCTGGAGAATCACTGTGCGAGCTCTTCACTCTCTTGTTCGCCGACGGGGTTGTGGGGTCGTCAACGGCTTTCCGCTTGGAATCTGAGGTACACATCGTTAACTTGTGGGTGCTTGATAGGATTAGAGTAAATACTGACTGTCATCTTTCATAGGCCCCATTGCGAAAGTGCGACAATGTTGATACTCATGCCACAAAGGAACTTGTAACTTGTTGTCTTTGATATTGCCGTCGTCGCGACTGTTATCGCCGGTTGGTCCTGGTCGTGACGAGGCCGATGCGGTTCTGCCGCTAAATTCAAAATAGACAAGCGTGAGTAGGTACATGGTGATTGTACTATACCCACTGTAAAGTAGTACATGTGTCTTCGGAGCTTCACATCAACGTCGCATACCCTTCATCAGCCAGGCTTTCGAATGCACCTGTCGATTTAATTCTACAGCCCTTCTTTGGACTGCTCCTACGAAGGCCAATCTCAAATTCAACCCAACAAGCTTCAATCCCTTATCGGCAAACCTCATATGCCTCAATCATCGCTTCGTGAGGTCTGGGAAGGTGCTGTAGGCAATCAGTTTGCCCCGTCAATCAGCAAGGACAGCCAGTTCTCACTCGGTTTCTCGTTGCTTGCTTTGGGCATATTACTAAGTGGATACTTTGGTTTGAGTAGGGATTTCCAATACACCCAGAATTCACTCATTTACTCATCCATTCTTAGATCGCTCAGTCACAAACCTCCCACTTGTCGGCGTCCCGGCCGCCCTCGCAATCGGCTTCGGTGCAGTGTATATGATCTGTGCAGTTGGCGTCTACGTTTAGATTCGCTTGCTGTTGCCATTGGGTGGGAAGAGCGTGAATAAGGAAGGCCAGAGCCGACTGCGATTCATCGTGCTCAAGAATTTATCAATTGGCTTGCGAAGTGAACGCGCAAGAGACAAAGTCATCGAAGATACCCCCGCCGATCCCTCGTCTGTGTATAATAGCATGCCCTCCACGACTTAAGGGCATTTGAAGAGAATATCTGTGGGCAGTGTATGATTAGCGAATCAAGATACCTCTTTTGACTCCTTCGCGGCTTTCCGTGGTATGAGAATTCACCATGTCAGCCATAATAGAGACCGACGACCCTGTCCCAATATTCAACGCAGTATCTACATCTGTTAGACAACTCTGCCAACTTCTTAATTGTATTCGCTTTGCGCCAAAGGTGCAAATTCATATCTCCCCTGAAGGGATTCAATTTGCCGTGGAGGAGGGCCGCGTCATGCAAGGTATGCACAGCACTGGAGTATGCTCAGTTGGTCTATACTTACGATTTCAGCAACCGCATTTCTTGATAAAGCTCTCTTTACGTCCTTTACATATAACCCCCCTACATCCGACGACAATGATACGGCCGAACCCCCATCGTTCCAAGTATCTTTGACAGCACTGCTCGAGACTCTTCAGATTTTCGGTGCCTCCGAGGCTTCGTCTCGTTTCTCCAAGCCGGAGTCTGACGAGTATGCCACCAGTATCCGCCCACACAGAATCACCGCCTTCAGCAACCAGACTCTTGGTATGACTGGAGTCTGTCGCTTTTCTTACCTTGGCGTTGGCGAACCATTCCGTGTCATACTTGAGGAATGCGGCGTGACTACTACGTGCAATCTGAACTCCTACGAGCCAGAGAATGCAGATGAAATCCCATTTAACAAGCAAGAGTTAGAAGTAAAGATCATCATGCAAGCTCAATTTCTCTACGACGCGTTTCTAGAGATTGCCTCAATGACAGCTACGTCTGCAACCTCCTCCAACCGACTGAAGGTTGTCGCTTCGCCGAACTCGCCGTTCTTCTCACTATCAGCTACTGGCTCGTTAGGCAGCACGACTGTGGAGTTCAGCAAGAGCAGGGACTTGCTCGAGACATTCTCGGTCAGCCGGAATTGGACGCAGTATTACAGGTTCGAGATGGTCAAAGCAGCTGTGGAGGCCATGAAGCTAGCAAGCAAGGTCAGCTTCCGCGGCGACAGCCAGGGAGTCCTATCATTGCAATTTATGATTGAGGTGGAAGGAGGCGGGATAAGCTTTATTGATTTTAGATTCGTGCCCTTTATTAGCGGGGATGAGGATGATACTGAAAGCGAGGAGGATAATTATGATGATAATGGGGAGGAAGTTTAGGGTGTAGCCGTCTCACGATTATGTGGCTATATGATATCTCGTGTCCTTTGAGTAACGGGGTAAGGCTGGTCAGAGGAACAACGATATAGCTCTAATTACCTTAAATGATGCTGAATTACCATTCTAGCATATATTTGGCGTTTCTCTGGCACCTGTCGTTTATCACATAAAAAAACACTTTCCTAGTCCATGTCTTTGCATTTATTTGAGTGGTTTTTATTACTTCGGCAAATAAAATATTAATGTATAAATATTTAAACATGGGAGCGTGAATAAAACACGTCCTAATATATATATGGAGTCGATTAAAATGTCGAGCATCTAAAGAGTCAGCCCATAAATGTTAACCATCTACAATAATATACCACCCGACTAATAGCAATGGTACTATACTCCCGCGATAGACCGACGTGGACGCTCGCCGCCACAGCATGTGAGAAGGACGACACAACGCTTGTGGACCAGGCTTTCTCAAAGGCCTCTCAGCTTGACGGTATCAGCGAAGTCGAGCTGCTTCATGAGTTTTGCGCACTCGCAGTCGAAAAGAATGCGACAAATGCCCTGACGCATCTTATCAAACAAGGTGCAAATGTAAAGGCGTTAAAGTCAAGAGAAGTCGCATGGCGTAGCCCAAGGACAAAACCAATCCTCGAGATCCTGTTCGCACACGGCTGGGACATTAATGCGCGCAATGATTTGGGACATAGCTTCTCGGATCCCGAACCCTTTATGTGGAGTGTTGTCAAAGATATCGACCTGGTTACCTGGTGTCTAGAGCATGGTGCGAGCGTGTTTCCAAGAGATCAGGAGCCACTACGGGACGATATAATCACTATGTCCCATCGCAAATGCCAACAGGTACTCGAAAAGGCCGCACAGTCAGCCACTGTAGCGACGTTTGAGCTCCTGCGCTCCAAAGGGGCTCCCTTGGGTTGGCGTCCGCTGCATTTCGCCATCGAAACTACTACTCATTATCAGGCCGACCGCGGAGAAGAAGCCAACCGCGGCGAAGAAGAAGATAAAAAGGCAAAAGAAAGCGCACGGAACTATGAGGAGCGTATGGCTATGGTGCGCCACCTTGTTGACGTGGTCGGAATCGACGTGAATGCTCCTGATCAACCACCGGGAAGAGAGCTGGGTGGTTTTTGGGGAACACCGATCTGTTATATTGCTAAATCCTATGGGTTGGACACAGACACGCGCGAGCTGGCCTGGTTTCTGCTGGATCGAGGCGCGGATCCAACCCCCGCTCTTGACATTGCGAAATCCACTGAGCACGTCAAATTCATAGCTGACGTCGAGGCATGGAGGGCAAAGCAGCCCGATCGCCGCAAGTGTTGTGCTCTACAGTAGGCAAAGTGGGTTGAATACCTGTGGCTGTCTTGTTCCCCATTACTGAACAGGTCGTTTGTTGTATAGAGTAACGCTCCTGTGCAAACCTCACGTATAAACCCGGGAAGTCAGTGGTAAAATCTATTATTTAAATATCATTGCGCTGTAGCTAAACTTTGTAGCCCTCAATAACCATCTATTCTGGCGGACGCCTAACCCATAACCCATTTATATAGTGCGCTGCTCAACATTATTGACCAGCAAACTGTTGCAACGAAAAATGAAATGCCATAGTGCAAGTGCACGTAAAACGCTAGTTCTGAGCATTTCCATGCAATCAAAGCAACGCCCAACTCCATATTTAAACCGCCGGTGCAAACCCACAATATGACGCCAATCACTGAACTCTCTGACAACCTCAACGCTGAAATGAATTTGGTGGCCGCGACGAACTCTGGCCAAAGACTCGATCACCTGGAGCCCGGTTTGTCGTGGAATGTGTGGGACGTGAACCAGTCAGACTCATACGTGGAAGAGAACGCATCGAGTTTAGGACCTGCGCAGACCCATTTCCAACAGGCGATGTAGCACTTGGGCTACTGATTCTGTCCGCGCTGGCCGCTGATGTAGAGGCCTCTTGGCGAGGGGTGGAAGATACAGAGCCGTTTCGAAGCCCATTGCCTTGCAGTATAGCATTGATGATACTCGGGGGCAATCTTGTATATACCGACGCCTGGCTGGGTGCCACGTTGCTCAAGGGAAGGCTTTGGCCAGGCAATACGGATACTCCCCCCGCTTCCGCTGCCTCCTTCAGCCACTGCTCGTATTCCTCGTCGCTGAATCCTGCTCGTAGACGCCGATTAAGCTCCACGCCTACGCTTTCAACCTCAGCATCGCTCTCCTCACCATCCTCGTCCATCTGGTCCGGGTCATCTGAGCCTTCGTTCTCCTCGGCCTCGTCAAACTCGTAGAATACGGCTTCTCGCTCCGGCAGTGACGACATCTCAGGGCGAGTATCGGTTGGGTCAACCCAATCTTGAATGCAATCGCCCGTTGTGTCCCTAATCTTGATATTCTGCTCCTTCTCGAACCGCTCCTTTGCCCATCTCGTCCCTTCCCAGTGTGTTAACCCAGCAATCTCCGATTCCGTCAGTTTGAGAGTATCGAAAGCCCGGAAGAGCCGCCTGTGCCATGTGAAGCGGGAAAGGCGCATTCGATGGGGTGGATATGAGTAGTCGAGGCCGGGATACTGGGCTTCTCGGGTGTCAAGGGAGCCATAGAAGCAAGCCGTTTCTTGTCGTACCTCGGTGAGGAGGTGTCGTTCCAGAAATTTGGCCCAATTCTGAGGATCTGTCGGCTTTGGGTGAGGGAACATGTGCTCGTAAACGAGTTCGTCGATAGCTCGTCGCTTCATCTTGGCTGGTACGTGCGATATCGATAGTGATGGTGAGTGATAACTGATAGGCTGTAACAACTGGTGAATCCCGTCTGATAACCGTATCGCGATGTCGATGAGCGTTTCACTTTGTAAAAGGTCGTCGGTTGTGGCACGACACCTTGCCGGTGCAGTCCTTCCAGCGCAGTCCTCAAACTTGGGGGAATATCGCAGCCCAACCGCCTAACTGATTATTACATGCAAGCACAGGTAGTAATTTTACTACCAGTTCGCGAACGCAGATTTGCAGGATCCCCGTTGGAATGCTCTTTCAGCGCCAAGTGCAGGAGATGCCACCAACGATAGGAACCGGATCCGGATTAGATGCTCTCTTAAGGCCCGAAATTGTTTGGGCCAAGTGTGTTTCCGAATGTCCTGTGTTGTGCAAAACTGGAAATGAGTGTATCGGACTGGGAGGTTGCAGTAGAAGAGGAATAAGTTCGAGGGCGTTTCAGGGTTTTTGTGGCTGTGAGGTCAAAGGACGGTGAGTGAACCGCAAGTCTTTCGCGCCGAGAGGGTGTTTGGCTGTTTGGCTACTCCGGTTGCTCCACGTAAAAGGATGGAGTGGCCGAGTACATTCGAGTACCTTGTGGTATGCGGTTATACAGCGGTGTACTTGTACATAAATGGGTCATAAGTGGTGTAGTATATATGTACAGTTGCGTAAGAGCCTTAGTGGAGCATTAGGCAAGAGTGACCTACAGCAACCAAGGCCCGAAATTTATAATCTCCGCTGTTACTATTGGCCGGTCCCTACACGTCGGGCGACTTTTTTTCCCAATTGAGAAGCTGCCTGGTAGTCGAAGCATGTGTGAAATGAGAAAAAAGAAGCTACGTTGCTATAATCGAAAACCAGAGCACCGTGGTGGCCCAGACAACATATGCTGAGTCGTATGGTGGTTGGAAGGAGCTTGTGGTGCTGATAATAATCATGGAGTCTCACTGCCGAGCATAATTTATCACTACGAAAGCTAAGAGGACCAACAAGACGTCCGTGAATATATGTGCGACTAACGACTAACGACTAACAACTAAGACTACAGCTATTTGGAAGTGTTCTTCTCCACCACCCCTCTTGCAAACTCACCGAAGTTAATCCCTTTCTCGGTGTCCACCAACTCGTCGAGGCTGGGCTGCGTAAAGACAGCAAGTGTGTTCCGAGCTATGTCACCATCTCCTACTTTCGGGGCGACACCCTTCACAAAATGAGGCACAGCCCTAAACTTCCCTTTCGTGATCTTTTCCAGCGCCTCGCCAGTCTGGAAAGCAATGCAGTCCCGGGGGATCTTAACTTGCACTGTCTCACCATTTCGAGACTGGATATATAGTCCCGCTTGTGGGTCTGGTGAACTTGGCAGCTCCGGCAGTGCTGGGAGATGAGTATCAGTTGCGTTATGACCTTGAATCAACGCCCTCGTGGCTGTTTCGTCCACGAACATAGCGCTGGTAAGGCCGGTAAGACATCCATGGTCAACATGTGTAGCACACCAGTCATCGTCAAGAACAGCACCCTGGGCCCCGTCAGAGGCGACGGGAGGAGATGGGTAATAGTGCAACAGTCGGGCCTTCGTCGTAGTTGAGGTTCGAACGACGTGCTCCAAATACCCCTTCGTATAACCGTCTATTTTCTGCTCCGCATACTGGTCACATGCACGTGCGACCAGAACTGCGGTATCGATTATCACTCGACAAAGCTCTTCAAATGTCGGGCGAAATCCAGGGAGAACACCCTCAGATGGCCAGACATTTGGGCTCAGGTATTCGGGGAAATTCTCCAAGGAGAATTCGGCAGTGCTCTCCGCACATTCCAGCTCTGGGTTCATATAAAAAGCGCAGTTGGCATAATATGACCCCTTCAACGTGTCGACCTGGCCGTTTTTTAACGTCTCCTTGCCCAAAGACCACCCGGTAAGGTACTTGGCAGTTGCATCTTCTAGCTGCTCTATGCACGAGTTAGTTCTTCTGTAGGCAGCAATATGAAACTTGCACTCTACCTAGAATTTGGGGAGGGAGGTTGCCCAGATAAGTCGAATAGGACAATAGTCGTTGACGTAGTTCAACAAAAGCAGGGTCTACATCTTTGACAAGAATTATTCCGAGTGACTCTGGACCAAAGGCAGCTTCTAATGTAGAGAAAGGCACAGTTCCTAAATCCCAATAACGTGTCAGCCTTCATCCCTTTATCTACAGCAGGTGGAGGCATTTCCCATGACCACATGACCATACACGTACCATTTTTGAGGGCCTCAAGGCTAACAGTCACCGCAGCATGCGCCATTGCTTGAAAATAGAAATAATATAGTCCTTAAATCAAATATTATAATACACAAAAGTGCAATATATTGGGAAGCCAGTTTTATAGTCCTCTCTCAAATCGCGGAATTCACCGCATTCCAGTCCAAGAGGGGCAGGTAGCTGTTGGAGGAGGGTTAGCGGCGCTAGTCTTGACCCCGCATTCGTTCTTCATACTACAACTAAAGCTGTTCTAGACTGCGGTCACTCAGTGACCAACCCCACACCAGGAACAACATCAACATGGTAAAAGCCTTATCATTCAAGGGTGACCCAAAGACCAAGAAGCGCAAACGCGTCGATACAGCCGCCAAGTTCGGCGAGCCATCCACGGAGCTCACAACCGATGCGGCAGGTCCTGTGGAGGAGCAGGCATCAGATGATAGCTGGGTTAGCGCCGAAGCTACCACAGACATTGAAGGGCCGATTGTCTTTGTCTTGCCCTCAGAACCTCCTACATGCATAGCATGCGATACCAATGGCCAGGTGTTTGCCAGTCCGTTGGAGAATATTATAGATGGTGATCCAAGCACCGCCGAACCGCATGACGTGAGGCAAGTATGGGTTGCCAACCGCGTCGCTGGCACGGAGAACTTCAGCTTCAAGGGGCATCATGGAAGGTACGTCTTGCCTGTCAATACTAGTAAATAGCTTCATGTTACTGACTGCTATAAACACAGATATCTCAGCTGCGACAAGCTTGGCATACTCACTGCCCAAACCGAAGCTGTCTCGCCCCTTGAATCCTTTCTCGCATTTCCTACCGCTTCAACACCCGAGACATTCCAAATCCAGAACTTACGTGACCTATATATCACAATAGCTGCTCCAGCCAAGAACTCAGCAGTCCCCCAGCTGCGCGGTGATGCGGCCGATGTGAGCTTCAACACCACCCTGAGGATACGCATGCAGGCCCGTTTCAAGCCAAAGTTGAAGAGAGGCAAGGAAGACAAGGCCAAGGAGAAGATCAGCCGAAAGGAACTGGAGGAAGCCGTGGGGAGGAAGCTTGAGGATGATGAGGTTCGAAAGCTCAAGAGGGCGAGGAGAGAAGGCAATTACCACGAGGCATTGCTTGACGTGAAGGTGAAAAGCAAGCACGATAAGTACAGCTGAGTACCCTATAAAGCTTGCATTGCTACAGCATTGGCCATTGGCCAAGCTCCAAAGGTGTTCGCAAAGTTACTTCAAGCTTGCTTATTACAAGATGATGCACTGCCACTGCGAAACATATCACGGGGATGCGGCTGGCAAGTATTGCGGGGCGACCCTTCTGCACGGATTTCCAAAATGGTACCTGCAAAAAGTCTGGCCCTTTAATGGTCATAAAAGAGATATTTATAGATTGAGTAGATACAACGAGCCTCCTGGCTGTAGATTTCCATGGTGTGGGCAGTTGCACTCGTACCCGTCTGGTATGTGGTACCTTAGTGTGGCAGGCCACAAATTTCCGCTCAATGTCAGTTGGATTTCTACAAACATCTAGGAGCGAAAGATTTTTGAAGGGAGATTCCTTATGTACAAGTTATCTACAGTATATAAAGGTATATAGCATGAAATCCGCACCGCAATATGTAGTAAATATCAACCTGACCACCAACGCCGCCATGCACTTCATATCTAATCAACTCCAACCCACTCGAACCCACGCCTCACAGAATCCGTCATAATGGTACATTCATGAGCTCGAGTGGGGATAATCAGTGACTGGTCTCCTCCCACTTCCACAAAGTGCTCCTTTCCGCCAAATAAGTATTTCACCACTAACACCTTACTCGACAGTGGTGCAGGGTCCCAAAATCCCGTAAGCTTATTCCTGTCTACGCTCCGAGGGATGTTGAGCTGATCAGCATCCACGAGCGATGCGAGGGCGGTTGTTACATCCACCAGGACGCCATCTGTGCCTTTAGTGCCATACGATGCACTTAATATTACCAATCCGCCGGAGCGCCGCGCCTGTGCCTGGCGGTGCTCGACGGACGGTTTCAGGAGCGACATAACCTGTTCTGCCTCCTCGCGCTTTTTGGCAATGTTCTGCTTTAACTTTGCGCGCTGTGATTTCAAAAGCCGCCGGCGCTTGCGTCGTATGCGAGGGCGAATGACCGCGAATTCCAGAGTTGTGTAGAGCGCCCAAGGTATGCCGACAGCAAGTAGAATGGCACTCGTGGTAACCTCTTCGAGGGGAATCAGAGCCACTGGGAAACTGATGTTTTGCTTTAAGCGACTCCATGAGAAACTGCAATAGAGTCCTAAGTTTTGAGCCACGCCGACACTTAGGCCAACAGAGGTGAATGTTCCGATGCGCCTCTTGCCACTTACTGATGCAGAGAGGATTGCTGGCAATCCAACCTTGGCCTCAACTTCGAGGAGAATACCACGCGATTTGCCAACATGAAGCCCTGCGGGTTGAGGTATGACCTCACCGCTGTTACTTATACGAGAGCGCACAGGCGGTTCATCGTATCGTGAGAAGACATCACAAAAATAAGACACACTGAGATGGACGCTTTCGGTGTGTGCTTGGACATAGACATTAGTGCCGGACGAGGCTGTTCCAGACCCGTCATTAACGCCTGTAGCTTCTCCGTTAAAATTCCAATCGGCACCGAGCTTCATTAAAGGAGAGCCACGGCCTTGAGTGACCCAGCGAACAGCATATGGCAAGTTTAGAGGTGCAGCACCTGCAAGTGACCGGGAAATTGATGCGGGCCACTCTTTCTCGCCTGATGCCCAAACAAAATAACCACGAGGGTTTCCCCGTACTCCTAGAGCCCGTTGTATGATGACGAATATCTCCGGAGGCCTAAGAATAAGAGAATCTTTTACTGTGGTGGTGACGGAGATAGTGAAAGGGGTCGTATCTGGTATGATGTACACTGGCCTTTCTAAGACAAGTGTTGTGGAAGCTGGGTGAGGAAGCATGCTGGTTTCCAGACGAAACGCCGTCCCTTGAAGCAGGGACGCGATGGAGTTGCCGTTACCATTGCCTAGAAGCTCTGGGAAAGTATGATGCAAGGCGACGCCAAACCCGATCTGTTGGGAAGCTATAGCGTAGTGACGATTAAAGTACGGTGGGAGCGAATTATCGCGCCGAGGCAAGACTGCGACAATATCTTGGACATCTCCGGAGACACCACCTGTAATGGTCAACTTTGGAACAGAAGGGCTCAACGTATCGGCCCAGTCATTAGGCTCTGTTTCATCATCTCCTCCATTTAGACGCACTGATTGGCCTTGGAATAACTGCCGTACTGGTATCTCAAAAATACGACCGAGTTTTGGCAGTGGAAGTGTAAATGAGGACTCGAAACCAATCTCATCGACTCGGAGAGGTTGGTTAGGTAGTGGAATCTCCACATCACCACTGAGAACGACCCTGGTCTGCCTTACGAAATTGTCGGACGCATCGAGGCCGATCTTGAAATTCGATTGGTGGTCAATAAGAGCTTCAATCGCGCGTCGCTCTCTCCGGTGCAAAATCCCAAGGAACCATTTTTTGAATTCTTCCGCACTCATGGCCTTCACAGACGAAAGCTGCTTCCTTGACTCGCCACCAGGCCCCATTGCCCCGCCTTCTCCGTACTCATTTTGAACCCCCTCTTCTCCTTCAATGTCATAAATGACTCTCTTCCTTGGCTCCGATAATGTCTCATATGCAAGCCTTAGACGCGCAAAGTGCCTTTCAGCGGAACCCTTGAGATAGTGCGGTTGTTTGTCAGGGTGGAATGCAAGGGAGAGTCTGTGATATGCGGCCTTTACTTGCGTGGCCGTGGGAGGGGGGTCCCTTGAAAGCCCCAGAATAGTATAATGATCCGCGAACTCGTCCCTATTTGCTTGCAGAAGCTGGCGTATTTCGGCGTCTGAAATGTCCTGGAAAGAGTCCTCTTCTGGGCCGGCGATAGCAGCGGTATGGGCAGACAGGATGTCTGGCGTAGATTCCTCAGAGTCGGACTCATCCTCGTCCTCTTCTGGGACGGCGGCGGCAGTTGGGGCAGGTGGGATGTTCGCTGTCGGTTCTGTAGAATCGGGTTCATCCTCGTCGTCATCACCGAATTGAAACTCCTGCCTTGACGACGCGAATTGCTCATTGAGACTGTATCTTGAGTTCATCGAGCGCAAATCAACCGGGATCTGCGCTCCATCATATGCACTGCTTGGATTCGAATCGGCGGGGCGCCCTCGTCTCTCGCGGGGAACCGCGGATTGCGGCTGGGCTGTAGGTCGGACCCTATCTCTGTCCCCTCGGTCCCTGCGCGGACGGTCTGCCATGGCGGGATACCGTTTGCGCCCATCGATGGCTGCAAGTTGAGTTTTGTGAATAAATCCGGAGATGCGATGCGCGTCGTCTATCGTACCTTTTCTATATGCAGCTTGGTGCGACAGCAACCACTTGAGCAAGTCCAAGCGCAAATCTACATGGTACAGACATGCACAGTGTGGCGCTAGCGCCCGCCATACCCGCCATGAGACGACAGTTGTGAAAGCATATCCCTACCACTGGGATAAGATACAGTCACAGCAAGAATGACATGAAGACATTCGGGGCCGTTAAAAGACTCTACAACCTCTTATATTTTTCGAGAACCTGTGTAGCTTATTGTCCGGGGCAAAAAGCGCCGGTGTGAATCCTATCCGACCTTGCCACCGCGTTATATTTGAAGGACGGTGGGTGCGGCCGCATGGTCTAGATATACGAATAGGATGCCCTCAAACATGGTATATGCCACGCATGATGTCAATAGCAACAATGGCGATACATTGTCTGCCCCAAAAGCATCACAGGCATGCCTCTCTTGCAGGAGACAGAAGCGTCGATGTGATAAAAAGATACCAGCTTGCTCCCTGTGCGAACGCATGAATAGGGCATGCGACTATTCCGATGCATCACCAGCACCGACGTCTGACGATTTTAATGTCCTACAACAACGGGTGCTTGAACTGGAAGGGCGGCTATTAGGTGCTGCTGCTGGGAATGGTTCGGGTCATGGACAGAGCTACCTGCACACACCTGCAAGTACCATATCGACGTTGAGCGCAGGCGTTCAACAGCCACCCACGCCTGCTTATACCCCTAGCCCGTCGTATCAGCCGGTGCACAATAGGTTCCCCGCTATTGCTTTCTTGGAGGCGGAGAGTTTCACCCGTGGGCGCATAGAAGCTCCCAGTGCCCAGATCGAAATACCATTAGTGAGTAACCATATACCTGTTTTACTAGACGGACAGATCTAGAAATATGATTTGTACGACTACATCTGCTATCTAAGACGGTAGCTACGTATGAAATTACTGAAAAACACTGTTCCAATGTTAATTTAGCTGTCTAACTGCTCTATAGGAAGTCCTAGAACTCCTTGGCGATGGCTCCGTTGTCCAGACTGTTATCAGAGACTACTTTGATACAGTGCATACTTGGATGCCAATTATATCCAAAAAGCGCCTCACAAGAAATATGCTCAATCCTATGTGGGAAGCCGGACCAGATTTAGCCCTTCTTTTTCTTTGTATGAAATTGATAGCTCAACATCCCCTGGATGACCCGGAAAATATATACAACCCTATATATGCCGCCGCCAAACGGTTCATATCTTCCTTGGAGGCCAGTGGGATAGTATCACTCATGGTGCTCCAAGCATATATTCTTGTGGCACTATATGAGTTGGGGCACTCTATATACCCGGCTGCGTGGATGACCGTCGGTGCCTGTGCTAGATATGGCCAGGTTCTTGGCGTCCACGACTCTGAGCGAGCTCCCCAACTTCTACCTCTCGTGGTAAGTAGCTCCCAACGATGGTTTCGATGCCTATCTAACATGATGCAGTCCTCGTGGACAGAGCTGGAAGAGAGGAGGCGCTCTTGGTGGGGCGTCATTATCCTCGACAGGTATAGAAGCAGTCACTCCGTATATTAGACTATTTCTAATGACTCACGCTAGGGTGATTTCCATTGGAAGCAAAGGGCGGGTTTTGGCTTGCGAAGATCCTCGCGATACAGCAGCACTACCGGCGACAACATCGGCTTGGGTAATACTTCTAGTTGATAAGTTTCTGCTCAATGTACTGACCTTTATCAGGATGAAGGGCAAATGGCATCTCAGAATCCGCCGAGCGTATCTTCACCTATGTCCGACCCACTCTGCCCATTTGCTCGCCTTTGCCAGGCATCCCGACTACTAGGTAAGGTACTTCGCCATCACAGCGAGCGGGATATGCAAGAGACGGAGCGCTTCCAACAGGCTTCAGATCTCTACCTAGAGCTCTCTGACCTTGCACGCATATTGGTCCACCAAGCCGCCATGCCACAAGAGTACCTAAGTTTTTCCACGCCTATGTCCGTATGCTTCAGCGCACTTTGCGCCTTGTGCGATCCGTATGCCTGCCATGTCTCAGGGGATAAGCCTACCACTCCAGAAGAAGGCAAAATGCAGACCCAAGCAGTCGATGGGCTGAAAACGGTTTCAAGCAGCATCAAGGAGTTTTCAGACCATCTGGTTTCGCAAACAACAAATCACCTCGACATTGAACGAGTGAGCCCCTTTGTCATGGAGACCTTGTACACCGCAGGTGCCAACTTTGCATGGGATGTGAGAGAAAGTGGCAATGAAAGCTCCCAGGAGACCCTGGACTCTCTCCGACAGAGCCTAGGGAGGTTTAGTGGAAAATGGAAATGCTCCCAGGCATATTTACGAATACTAGAAGCCCAAGAGTTTACTTATGCTGCTGTTGCCAGCGGGTGAGCTGCAGGTGCCAGTTCAGGGGTGGCAAGAGGCTATGCTATGCCCATGAACTGTTGTGTTGTGCATTGACAATGGGTTTCTTCATAACAATAACCAGCGTCACTTAGATGAGAGTTGGGCTAGGAAACGGGCCATATCCCCAGCAGAAAAATGTTGTCAATAATAAGCTTGACACACGTACACATACTTGCACCAAGGTGCAGGAATATGCCATCTGAAACCGCACATAATGCAAAGCAGCTGCAGATCCTGTTTTTTTATAAATAAAATACTACTAAAAACATATCGTGTATTCTCATGTGATAGGTATAGATCGATACCTTATCGCCCTTGTCCATGTTCAATTGCCTTGGATTTTGAGGATAATGGAAAAATGTCACGTGATCAAGCATTGTTTTTGTACTTGGCAATTATGGCCCTGAATTATGACGATTTTGTCACCGGGCCCGAGCGTCGCCGAGCTCTGGTGGAGATCCCGGAGGAACTTTCTGTTGCGCCTTAACTTGATAAAGTCAATTCAACCACAAACATTCAATTGACTCTGTTATATCAAGATGTTTGCACGCCAGGCCTTCAGGGCCGCTCAGCAGCCGCTAAAATCAGTAAGTTGCCCAATTTTACGAGACCGATAGCAGCCAATTAACAACTGCTCCAGCAATACCGTCGTTATGCCACCGAGCCGGCGCCAGGCGGTTCCTCGAACATCCTGGTCTATGCTGCCGTCGCAGCCGCAGCCGCTGGTGGAAGCTACTTCTATTTCAACCAAAAGGGAAGCACAGACAAGATCAAGGAGGGCTTACAGAAGGCCGAGGAGAAGGTCAGAGGACCAGCCAAGGACGCCCTGACTGGTGGTGACCAAGGATGGGTCAGCTTGAGGCTGGCAAAGGTCGAGAACGTCAACCACAACACGAAGAAGTTCTTTTTCGATCTGCCTGATGAGGACGATGTCAGCGGCTTAAAGGTGGCATCTGCCATCTTGACCAAGTATAAGGGACCAGAGATGGAGAAGCCGGTCATCCGCCCATACACTCCAGTTAGCGACGAAGGTGAGCTTGCATAGCACTCATATTATATAACGTTTCTAACCAGCGGAATAGATGAGAGGGGCCACTTCACCCTCTTGGTTAAGAAATACGCCAATGGACCAATGTCCACCCACCTACACGACATGAAGCCCGACCAGCGTCTTGACGTCAAGGGCCCAATCCCAAAGTACCCCTGGACCGCCAACAAGCATGACCACATCGCGCTTGTAGCCGGAGGAACTGGTATCACCCCCATGTACCAACTTACCCGCGCCATCTTCAACAACCCCGAGGACAAGACCAAGGTGACCCTCGTCTACGGTAACGTGACCGAGGATGACATCCTGCTCAAGCGCGAGCTCGAGGACCTCGAGAACACCTACCCCCAACGTCTCCGCGTCTTCTACACCCTTGACAACCCCCCCAAGGATGCACCCAACTTCCAGAAGGGATTCATCACCAAGGAGCTCCTGAAGACCGTGCTCCCAGAGCCAAAGTCCGAGAACATCAAGGTCTTTGTCTGTGGACCACCGGGCATGTACAAGGCTATTTCGGGCGACAAGAAGAGCCCGAGGGACCAAGGAGAGTTGACTGGTATTCTGAGCGAATTGGGATACAGCAAGGACCAGGTTTACAAGTTCTAAATCCAGAATAAAGCAGGCTAGACTGAGACACGCATATGCGCTGCATGGAATGATAGATAGTATGTACGTTTACTAGCGATGGTATACACCATTCTGCAATTAGATGCATTATTGTACTTGTCCACCACCTGCCTCTCTCAATGTTGCTGAGCAATAACATGATCTGCGGTACTGTGGTCTGATGAGAGCACCTGGAGTGCTGAAGTTCGCTGTGCCAGGCTGCCAGCGAATACATATCTCTATCAATCAATCTGTCAAGTCCTCATCCATGCATACGACCTCACCAGATCAAAGGCGAAACGGGGTTCAATACACGGTGGGAGTTCCCCCGAGTTACTAATCCATTGGTTTAAAAGCTACAATACATATAACAGCTAATATCATAAATGGGCCTCTTTTTAATTCAAATATCATAAGTAGGCCTCTTTTTAATATACTATCAGGAATGGGCCTCTTTTTTTCTTATCGCTCACTGCCTATATCATATTACGCGAGTAAAAACTCTAACTGCCTCTATTTACATTTTATATTTAAGTATTCCTAGCTATATATTACTATATCCTTACTAGTATAATGTCTACTCTAGTAATAGGTAATGTTTTCCCTTTAATGAAAGAAGCTAAGCTATCTATTATAGCTACTCTTAAAGACAACAGGTAATCGTACTAGACTAAGACCTTAAAGCTAATGAGATTTGTCTTAAAATGTAAGACTGTTAAAGACTAAGAAGAATAGGAGGAAGATATACTATACTATGAATTTAAGGTATAGTAAACATTATAGTAAACATAGGATATACTAACTATCTTTAGATACGTTATATTACCTTAAAATTATAATTAAAGGGCCCTATTACATTAATTACTAAGTTACGTCATTATGCTTGTCCTCTATCTATCTACTATAACTTTAAGGGAAATAGCTAGGTTAAATATCTCACTTAACATCATTCTAAGAGTGTAGCTATTAATCGTCTTATTACAGTTGCATAAATCTAAAGCAATGAGCAGGAGATATCTAGAAATATAATCAGCTATCTTATAGCATATATTTAAATTAGCAACTTCAATTAGCGCTGGAAAATCAAAGTTAGGTGATGCTTGGTCATATGACTAGTAGAATAATCAGGCACATGTATGATGAGAAAAAAAAGAGGCCTATTCCTAATATTATATTAAAAAGAGGCCTATTTATGATATTTGAATTAAAAAGAGGCCCATTTATGATATTAGCTGTACATATGACAGAGCTGTGGGAGAATATAATAAAGTATTTTATGCTACCAGAGCGAACCATATGGAACATAATGCGCTCAATCTATGCTTGATATATGTGCCATCTACCTTCTACCCAAATAGAGTGATTGGCAACATCTCCATCATAAAAAGGAACCAGGCATACGCCAACGCCATAATAACCCCCGGCCCATTATCCAACCGCCTTACACCCCAAGGCGCCCCGAGAAAGTGACAGGAATTAGGGCCTTTAAACCAAGACAGAGCCTCCGTGGGAGATTAAACATATTATGGAAGGCCAGGAAAAGAATAGAAATTATCTTCTTGCAACTTAAAAAAGGGTATCGGTGCTAGCATGCTGGCAAATGAGAAACGAATTGAGATGAGAAACGGGATAAGGTCGTCCAGCGTGTGCTTCCATTAGTCGCTGGAGCACAAAGTACGAAGGGAATTTGAAGGCATAGCTCGGTGTGCAAGCTGTCACTCGTCATTTATTAAAAGTGCCGTGTGATAATGGTCAATTTTGAAGGCGTGGCTGCACGCATGACCGATGCCACCAATCCAAATCTTGAGGTTCTCGCCAATTTACTTTGAAATCTTGGGCAATATCACCAGTGGGAATAGGAGTACTGTATGATGATAGGTAGCCATCGTTTTCAAAACGTTGTAGGTTGGGATGAGTTTGCCACATATTAGCGTTTTGCTCGAAGCCGTGGAGGTTGGCGGGGTCGCTGTCGACCATGTAGTTCATATGTAGAGCTTGCTCTGCAATGGCCCCATCACTTTGTTGAGTGCTATGAGGCATAAAGGTCATGTTCTCGGGCACTATATCCTCGTGTGTTGGATTGCCGTATTGAGAAAATGGCGACGGCTGAGCGGGCGAGTTGGAAGGTGTTATAAGATCATTGGGTACGGAGTCGTAATATATAGGCTGGATGGAAAGTAATGGTGCACGACCCGTGGTATTGAAGTTATTGTCCATTGCAGCTTGCATGTCCTGGCTATTGTCTGGATGAGGAGACAACAATGACTGTCCCAGAGGAGCTGTGTGGATGTGACGCCACGTAATCAGCCCTCTCTCATCTTGGTTGGCCTTGTTGAATGTCCAAACCAATATAACCTTCTTCGTCCAAGAGCGGCCGTAGTCGGTCGATGAGAAGACCTCCTGGTACATGGTCATCTGGTCAATGTATTGGCGAGCTCCCACTTGAACTGGATGGTATAGTCCACCTCGTTGACTTTCCTCAAACTGCCCCTGAAAGTCGTCCATCTTTCCGAGAGCGTGTGCCCATGGAAGAGCGGGAAATGCCAAACGCATTATAGCGCCAGTGCCCTCCTCGAATCGGTCCACATGGAGTGGGGAATTATTGGTTGAAATTAGATCCGACCCAGAAGCGCCGAACAAGTCTTTGTGCCTTTGTACGGTTTGTACGCTGCGCCACTTCAAATGGCTTTTATTCGACGGAACGGCTATTTCGAAGTTACCCAATAACTCAGCCTCCGCAGGAGCACTAGCATATCTCAGAGTCAAAGAAACATCGACGTGGATGAGGCTGCAACCCAAACCGCGGGCTGCCGCCGAGCCATGTACGATTTGAGGAAATTGTCGGCGCCAGTTTGGTAGCGATTCTTCAATGCCGGTCGGACTTAACACGAGTGGTTCTGGGTCCAAGTACTCGTGTAGACGCTCGTAATGGCCATTGAATTTCGGAATCGACATGCACAGATCAAACAGGCAGGGCCGTATCGATGCCATGCTAATGGGCGAGGGTGCTGAACGCCAGTGGGGCAATGTATTGTTCGCAAGGGCTATGAGGCATGGATCGTTGTTCAGCATGTCCCTGTTGCTACACTTTGGCTTCTCGTCCGCCGAGCGGAATATATGCTGGACTGGGTCTAATTAGCCTGAGAAAGGGCTCAAGAAGCGAAGTATACTTACAGGCAGGATCAGTCCGTATGTACCCTTTCAAGACCTGGATGTGACTGGAGACCTGCTTCTGGGTACGGCGTTTCGTTTTATCAGGGCGGACATTGGGTGGCAGCGATTTCTCATACGCAATCCACATGTATAATGCTATCAACTGGTTGCGCCCGTGGGGTTTCCCGTTGATTTGGAACATGAGTTTACCCATCATTGGGACGTCAAGGAAAGCTGTGATTGTTAACATGACGTCCGCTAATCATCGGGGCGGGCCAAATACCATCTAGAAACGCCTCCTCCAAGTCCGCAGACCACTTCTGACCATCTTGTTGCTGATCCTGCTTCGTTCGGTATGCCCTGTACTGCGACGACTGGGTGATTATCCTGCGGTAACGCCTGGCTCGTTGAATTCTTGAGTTGGTTCGTCTATTAGAATGGCCTTGCTCCATCCGCGAGTGTTGGGCGATAGAATGCGATGGGGGGTATGGCAAGATAGCCTTCGGCGAGTTATCCTCAAGCTTAGGTTGCATCATCCTTTCAGCGTCGTAGGTGTCGAATTGGGCAGTATTTGGATGCTTTGTATCTTGGGAAGTCATGGAGAACGGCGACAGAAGCCCCGTATTCTCTACTGGCGATAGTAGTGGCATCTGTTGTGACGTGTAGTTCTGTACCGGTGCATGCCAACCTTGTGCCATTGAATGGAATCAATGCAATTTGTTGTGCTGGTCAGTCAATTCTGACCAGTGAGAGACGCAAAGTAACGAGGGATGGAAGTGCCTTCAACAGCGTAGCCAATAGAACAGCCACGCAAGGAGCGATAAGGTATAACGCCCCTCTATTGTGTATGCAGACAGAGAGGGAGGTTGGTTCTTGTAACTAGTAACGACTGTAGTAGGGAAAGAGAATGGAAGCTGTCTGCACACTGGGGCCAGTAAGAAAAGATTAAAAGAGCGGGAATGTCGACCATGGAATTGAGAATGACGAGCCAGCCGGCAGTCGAGCTTATAAGAAGAAAAGCAAGCCCGCACGAACGCCCGTGCCAAAAAGTAAGATCGATCGGAAGGTGATGCGGTATAGATCTGCCCGTGATCCCGAGAAACATGTCTCTCAGGAAGCAGAGAAGGGAAGGAGAAGTAAACTAACTTGGACAGGGCAGTAGAAGATAGCAATATGCGGAAGCATGAGACAGCTGAGAAGGGGAACCTCTATGGTTGTGTGCCCTCTCGAATGACCCTTTTCGGCGTCGAACCGTTGAGCACTGCCCATACCAGACAACATGGACAGTCAGTGCACACGCGGCATTGTACCTAGAGCGAATAAGGGCCGTGGCCGAGGTGACTATTGGGCAGATGCATGTCAGTAAATGGGGGTTGAAGCAAGGAGAAGTCTATGCTCCGATCGATCTAAATGATAGACGACGGCGAATCTAGAAAACAATGGATTGACTTTACTGTCTTTGACCACCTCCGCGTTTCTAGTTTGACACTCATATTGGAGTCAAGGTAAACTGATCGCACGTCATATGCGTAGCAAGTACTATGATGAAGACGTGGAAATGCTCATATTCTCATCCCGATCCCGTCTAAATACTTCCACATTCAACCCAAAATGAGAAATATACCGTGCTCAAAGGCTATGATGTTAGTCTATCTTTCAATGTGGGGGTTGTTGTATTGATTAGTCAGCTCCCTTACCTTGGTCTGCCTCTTGTAGTATTGCGGCCTATCAGGAACGTTGGAGGGCAGGGAGTCAAGGGGTATAATTGAGGGGCAACAAACAAGGGATGAGGGATGCTTCTATGTTATATGTATAGAGTACAAATAAAGGATACACACGCATTAGCCATTATATCTGAAAACAGTCTTCCATGCATGAGGTAGGGGGAACGTTTCAGTTCATGTCTACGCCTTCTATGAATTGGTGCTCTAATATCTAATTTTATTTTGGCCAGGACAAGCCAGAGCCTCAATCCTGATGTGAGACCAAAAGGTGCACCGTAAAACACTCCTCATCAGGCAGGTTGAGACTAGGTAGGGCCTCACAATAGACTTGTCATATTAGATGACTGATGCGGGAGGGATCTAGGATGTTCCGTCTGATGGCATGAGCAACAATTTCGATCATGAGACTGTACTACTATGGTAGGCAGCGCCCGATATCTCTCGAACCGCCTTTGTTGACAGGTTGACCAAAAACACATTCCGAGTCAAGGTACAGCCATCACCGTTTATGATTGCCTTCCGTGTGACCCCCCCACCTTTGCATTTCCTGCTAGGATAATATTCTGAAACGCATACGCCTTCGACATTTCAGGGCAATGCTCCGAAGGCGTCGAGTATGTTCATCACATATTACTCAGCCGCTGTGCCTGTAAGCTGTACGACACAACGCTTTGTTCTTTCGAACACCATAAAGAACATCACAGACCAACTTTATTTGTGCGGCGGCCGCAACCGGATCCGATTGCTCAATATTTTGATTTATTTGTAGCACAGGACTCACTCCTCCCCAGCGCCATCTTCCACATTGAACCTCTTTCGTCCGCCCCCTGTCAGGTTTTGCAGGGCTACCTTGTTCACCTGCTTTCCAACCTTCTTCTGCATCTTCTCGATCTCCTCCTCCGCGTCGACGGCATCCTCAGCCGCAAACTCGATTACCAACCGCCTACCCAGTAAATGAGTGTCTTTCAACGCCTCGATGGCATTCTCCGCTTCGCGAGCTGTCACAAACTCCGCGAAAGCAAAACCGCGAGCCGTGTTGTCAAATTTCTTAGGCACCCGAACCGACCGTAGTTGACCATAGGTCCCGAAAAGAGTCCTGATGTCTTTCTTGCTTGCCTCGAACGGCAAGTTCTTGACAATAATCTTGGTGCGCTTACCTGCCAACTTCTTGGCACGGTCTTCCTTCCTTCGCTCCTCTGCAGCATCGACGCCCCTGTGGGACGCCTTAATTGTGAGATTGTGACCATCAAGGCTATGACCATCCATAACCTTGAGGGCGGCGGCGGCCTGTGCTTTACTCCTGAACTCTAAAAATCCGAAACCCATGCTCAGCACTTGACCAGGTTTTTTCGGATCTGTCTTAGTGTTGACCCGTGCAGACATAAACCCATCTAGGGGTTTAAATGTCTCCGTCAGGCGATCAGAAGTGGTGTTGAAGCTAAGATTGCGAACGAAAAGAGTGCTTGTGTCCGCACCAGTTTGGGCACTCTCCGGTCCCAGCAGATCGGATACCGAGAGCTTGGCATCGATCGATGTGCTTTTGGCATCGTTGGTTACATTCTTAATTTCAACATTTGCAGGCTGAGTGAACAGGTCTTTCGGTGCCTTCTCCAGGTAAATTACAGAGTCTTTCATACGACGGTACGCAAGACTTGCAAACGCCGCCCTGGCTTGAGGGGCCTGAGCAAACTCGACAATGGCAATTGTCCCCGAAGGTGGCATCAGTACACGGATTACTGAACCAAACTCCTCGAACATCTTCCTTATTTCATCAATTGATGTGCCGTATGTGAAGTTTTTCACCAGAATTGTGGTATCGCCTCTCTCGCGCTTCTTGAATGCGTCCAGGTCGACGTTATTATTGGAAAAATAAGCCTTCGTTTCTTGAATAACCGATGTCTCCGCAATAGCTTGCTTGACACCTGCATCTGCCGAGGTAGGATCAAGAAGCTCTGACTTTGAGACACCAAGACGATCGGCGATCGAGGAGTTGACTGCATCCTGGTTCATGTACAGAGAATTCCAGTTGAAGGCGCTAGAGGTAGCCTCGGCTTTCTTCTTGATTAACCTTTGCTTCTTGAGGGGAAGTTTGGCGATCTCGAATTCATCAAGCTTCTTGTCTCTTTTCGCCGCTGCAGGCAGAATATGCAGCAGGCGGCCTTGAAACGGTTCCCCGTCAACATTGTGAAACGCCTCTGCCGCTGCAGCATGATCTTCATACTGCACAAGAACGAAGCCCTTACTGGCCCCCGAGGCGTCCAGTGGGAGATGGATCTGCAGCTGGAGATTAGCTACTGCATCTTGATATATATTTAAAATAAAATACGTTTGGATAAAAGCTTTTCAGAAAACACGGAGCATCTACTAAAATTTCCGACCAGTTGACATCACTTGCGTGTAGCATAAGCTGTCCCTATCTGGATATTCATCATGAAAGCGAAGAATGTAAAAATAAAATGAAAAATTTGGGATACATACCTCTTCAAGCGCGCCATATTTCTCAAAATGAACTCGGAGTTCATCCTCAGTGGCTGTATACGGAAGATTTCGCACGAACAATCTACCGTTTTCTCGAATTGCGTCCATAGTAGCATCAGTTGAGCTTCCCACTTCCGGCACAACAGCGATGCTGTCGCTGATAGGCTTATCAGCGTCTTCCATCGCGACATCTTCAGTAGATGCAGAAGGTTCCGCTGTTTCTGTGGCCTGAACAGCCTTAGAAACAGTAGGGACGCCTTCGTCAACTACCATATCCTCAGGTTTGACTAGGTCCAACAGCCGACTCGTCCGAGACCGAAGCCAATCATCATCAGTGGCATCGAGTCCAACACTGGGCTGCATTTCAGCAGCGCCAATAGCTGGTATCTCATCTGCCAACTCGGTGGCATCAACCACTTCTGCCACGGGAGCGACAGCAAGTGGGGCAGCCACTTTAGCAGGACTCGGCTCGCGTGATGCGTTCCGGGCTTTCTTCGGGACGATCTCGTACTCCTCGTCACTCTCCTCCTCAGGCAGTTCGATGGCCTGCATCTTCGTCGGCGGCTCCTCGATACCATCCTTTGAAGTCCACGCTTTTGATTTCGAGCCCGGCTGCATGACCTCGAGGAACTCTTGGAGCTTCGGGTCGGCAGCATCGGCTTCTGCCCGCTTCCGTTTCAGGGAGGGGATGTCGGCGATGGCAGCCGCTTTTGCAGCAGCGCGCTCTTGTCGCTCCTGCTGGGCCTGTCTCTCGGTCTCTCTCTGTACCTTCCTTGACGGGGGTAGAGTTGTGTCAGAGATCTGTTATGAAAAATATCAGTAAAAAAATTCTCTTAAGCGGGGACTTTAAGTGAAGACGTACAGCTCTTGCCATCTCGACACCGATTTTGGACATGCGAATGAAGGACTTGTTAAAGTACTTCACGGCCTTCTGGGCATCCTCGGGCGTCTTGTACCCGACATATCCAATGCGCCGATGTGGGATCAGCTTCGCATCTGTGATGGCCTGCTTGGAGGAGAAGTGCTTCCTGAACTCCTCCTCCGAGATCGTGGGCGGCAAACCCTTGATGAAGATCCTCGAAGACTCCATCTCTGCAAGTAAAACAAGAACACCCAGCTATTATAATAAAGAAAAAGAAGAACGTCGTAAAGTCATAGTATTTAGAAAAACATTTTGGAGGTATAAGTTGCGTAGTGAAAAAAAGAAGAGGAGGAGGAGAACCAAACAAAAAAGTAGTAGCAGAGCAAAATCACACTAAAATCTCCAATCCCACCAACGGAAAATGCCACCACAAGGCTCCACACCACGCCATGAAACGCTAGTCGGGATCGGGAGGCGGTGGGCACGAGCCAAGCGACAGAGCAACACCTCCGTTGGCTGTGCGGTCACGGAAGTGGGTGATGAAAGTCTTGGGTCCGTTTTACCACTTATAATACCTGCCTGTGAGCGCTGCCCGCAATCAAAATACATCCGCTCATCGCTCATCGCTCCTGATAGATCGTATCTGCTCTTCTTAGCTTTCTCCATACTCCGAAACTCTCCCCCCCGGCGTCATCAAAAGCTTCAACTTATATACTCCTTCGACCCCCAAGGTATATATAACCCCCCTCTTTTGGACCCCGACGCGAAAACGCGACAGCTTGCTTAAGCTACTACTATAGTACCTATCAAACTACTGCTACTACGGTGCCTTATCCATTCGTACACCACGTCGAACCCCACATCTTCGCGACCACGCACCACCACAACCCGCACCATCACGAGCCGAGACCCCAGAGTCTCCCCGCGACGGATTGCCCAAGATGCCCGGCCAGAATGAGAAGGAGGCCGTCCCCTCGAAGGACCAGGTCGATGGTACGTCGTCGTCGGCTTTGTCCCCAGCCTCGGCCCTCCTCCCATCGCCCGCGCGCGTCGCCCCGATGGGAGAAAGGTACCCGAGAGACGAAACGCGCAAGCACTAACCTCCCCGCGTAGCCCAGGTCAAGTCCGCCGACATGAGCGACGAGATGCAGCAAGAAGCCATCGAGATCGGTGCGTTCCCCCCAGCGATGGCACTCTAGATCGATCCTACGACGCCATCGCAGCCCCAGCCGAACCCCCCCCACTGACACATGCGCAGCACAAGAGGCGATGCTCAAGTTCAACATCGAGAAGGACATTGCGCAGCACATCAAGAAGACGTTTGACGACCGCAAGGGCCCGACGTGGCACTGTATCGTCGGCCGGAACTTTGGCAGCTTCGTTACTCACGGTTCGTATTTCCCCTTTCCTGTTGCTTTGCGTTGCTCTTCAATTTCACGTGCAAGAGGAAAGACAGAAGCTGACATGACGGGCAACGCGCAGAGACAAAGCACTTCATCTACTTCTACCTCGGCCACTGCGCCATCCTCCTCTTCAAGACGCAATAGAAGCCTCTGCCATGCTAAAGGTTCGATTCCCATACCCGGTGGGATAAGCCTCGGCGGGTGTCGAAAACTTGGGAGAGGAACGGGGAACCAGCGCGGGGCGGATACATTTTTGCCATTTCGCGCTGGCGAGATTGGGTATAGGGAGTCGTAGCCGTTTTGTTTTTTAACGCATGGGGCACAATTGCAGATGATTGAGAGGAGGTTTATGAGTTTTTTCAAGGGGGGAAAAGTAGAGCATACGACGAGCTGTTTAGGCTTCTGTTCGTAGAGTAGGTTAGTTATGTGGGTGTGTTTACACCAGTTTACCACGTGAGAGAGATAATGCATTCACTTTGATGGTTCTTTATATTGTCTCTTAAGGACTGCGTTTGACAGGAGTGACACTGTATGCATCGTAAGATTTAGAATCTGTGATTGTCATTTTCTGGCCATGATTTCTTATTCCCTGGCACGCGATAACTCGGCTGACTGGATTCGCTGACTACTCTCTTAATTACGAGAGTCGGGCAAAAGAAGCCGACAACGAAGAGCTGCACTTCGTAGTTACCCCCCTTCCCCTCGCTGTGGCTGAGACTTTCAAGGAGGATGATGCCAACATGGTGACTGACTGCACAGATGTCTTCGGATAGTTGCTCTCTGTCACCCCCGCAAAAAATAATGCCTCAGCTTCAATATAATTCTTTTATATTCCCTCTAGCCCATATCTACGAAACAAATTGTCTGTAGCTAAGAACGGAGCTATACTTGTTTTGAAACTCCCCATGGTATAATCTATTCCCCTTCGCTTTCAAAAGACCATAAATTCGCTTCAAGCGTCTCAAACGCATCAATGCCATGCCATGCCATCCTTCCCCATCTCCCTCATCGATTCATATGGACAGCTCAACTCATCCATCACCCGCCATCCCGTGCTAACCCACCCTTCATCGATCCTCCGACCTATCCCTCGCCGACTCAATAATCTCCCTCTTCATCTGCGCCACACGATCATGCAAATCCATCAACTTCCGATGCTCATTGAGCAACCGACTCGGATCAGCCTGCAGCTCCTGGTACAATTTGAGGTAGCGATCGTACACGGTCTGGAACCTAGCGCTAGCATCCATGCAGTGGGTCGGGACATGTCGGAACTGGTTCCTGTTGTAGATGCTCTTCATCTCGGCATCGGTGGCGCCGTTGCGGCCAGAGGGGCGCTTTTTCTTGGCGGGTTCGTCGAACTCGGAGTCGACTGCGCGGCGCTTGATGCTGTCCGTGGAGCTGCTCGAGGGTGAGATGGAGGTGGATTGGTCGAGATCTTCCATGTCGGACGCGTTGGTGGGTGGTGATGAAGCCAGTGGAGATGACTTTTGAGGCGAGGTATTCATCTTAGCACGGCTGTTGTTGATCGAGCGCTGGAGTGTCTTCACATCGTGGGTGGATTGGCTCGAATCAGACACGTGATGCTTCGAGGATGGGACTGATGAGAGACCCGATGAAGACGTCGACGGTGCCTTCTTTGCCTTCTTGGCTGTGCCATTGGTAGCCTCAACAGTATCCATAGCGTCACTCTTTCGCTTGTTTGACTTAACGTCATTTTGTTTGTCCACAGGAGTTTTCTTGGTGGGAGAGCCTTTGTTGGATGTTGAGCTTGCGTGGTTCATGTAATCGTCTGCTTCTTCCTCCGAGTCGCTAACAAACTGGGCAGACTTGAACGTAGTCTTGGACGTAGTCTTGGCCTGTTTCTTGGGTGGTGCCACCTTCTTAGGGGCTGGCTTTGCCGCGGACGATTTGCCCGAGAGGCGCTTGTCCTGTGCCTCCCGATCTTTGGCAGCCTTGCTCTTTGTGGCAGAGTTCTGTGATGTCGAGCGAGACATACCCGCGCTCTTTGCAGGTTTTGCAGCCTTATCACCGTCCTCGCCAGCGCTCTCGCGACTCGAGTCCTCTGAGGTCTTGGGCTTCGTTTTGGCACCGAAGTTTCCGCTTACAGCAATTTTTGCCTGGATCCTGCTCAGGCACTTTCCCGTTCCGCGCTCTGCCACAGGCAGGAGCATCTGCCATTCAGGTTCCGATGGGTTCAGGCGCAACCTGTCATAGACTTGAATGGCGTTTTCAATTGCGGTTTGACGTTGCGCATCTGATTCATAGTCATGCTTCCAAACATCCAACTCCCTGAAGAACTTCCGAGTCAACTTGAACTTCCCATCCTCTTCATCGGCCACCTTCTCGATTGCATGCTTGTATTCAATTGGTGTGGCAGCAGACGTTCTCAACTTCTCCAATTCACTCATTGTTGCAGGACCAAGAGCCAGTCTGTGGATGATTGGGCCTCTAATCGCTTTGGTCTTCTCGGCTTGCTGTTGCGACGCAGGAATTGACGTAGCGCCCAGTGAAGGCGACGAGATGGCGTTCAAAGCTGGACTTGTAGGTAAGGAGGACCTCATATTGGATTTTCCAAGCGCTCTCTTGGATGCGAAGCTATTTGAGCTTCCGACCTTCAGTGGAGCGGCTGAACCACGCTTTTGAACGGGGGGTGGAAGGGCGGAGCTGTCCTTGACAAGTTGAGTCCTGAAGAAATGTTAATAATTCCATTGCAGAATACAATATAGGTTACAAAACTCACGTGCTGGCCGATTTCTTTGCATTCTCCATGGCCATGGTGTTTCTGAGAGTTTCGAGTGCGTCGTCAGAACCTTGGGTAGGTTCTTTTAATTTTGGGCTGGTTTTGGCAACCTTATCATTTGCCTTCTGCTTCACTGTTCTTCCTCGCGCATCAACCGTCTCAGTTCTGATATTGGTATAGTTCTTGGTCAGGGATCCCAGGTTCCATAAGCCACGAGAGGCAGATTTGCCCGGACCGCGGGGTGCTGGGTTCGCCATTGCTGAATCGAGATTGGTCGGTGAACCTGTAGATGCTTTATGATTTTGGAAAATGTCGTATGAGAAGGGATCTTCGGTGGAAGTGAGTTGGTGAGTTTTGGATCCATACGAAATGGACTGGAGGTTATAAAGTCAGCTTAATTCCTAATTGGGTGTGGCAGTTGTGAACAATAGCTGCAAGTTCACATTGACCCCACTTCGAAGTCAAGTTGACAATGTGGTTGCCCGCCATTGTCCTTGCCCGCTAAAATCCTCAATAGCAAGGCTGACTTACAGAATCGGGTCCCAGGGAAAATTGTATAGCCTCTCCACTCTGCACGCAATTTATCATCTCCTCAATCAAAGTATCGGTCAAGGTGAGGCCGATGAGCCCATTCGAGGCGGCGCCCGATTGTGCACCAACCTCGAGCGGCAGCCCCGACCGGGGCACCACGAGAGAAGGCATCTTGGGTGGCATTTTGTATGAGGGTGCCGACGATTTCGGGATCGGTTTTCGAGCCGTCGTAGCGTCCTGCGTTCTCGCACTGGGCAGTGGTCCTCACTCCCAAGCTGTCTGATGGTAAGGAAACTATGCTCAGTGACCATAATTTGTAGCGTGTCAAGGAATTATGGGCAAATCCATGTCACAATGTATGCGGAAGTCGACAGCCGCTGAATAATGGGCACGGTGAGTGGACGCAAGTTTGCCAATGCAGTCGGAGGGCGGTTGTCCCTCACAAAGAGGGCGTGAATGGGTATATGAGGTTTGCCAATTCAGAGGCAGGTCGACTGCACGAGAGAGATTGTGAATGGGTTTGCGGAGGTCTGGTGGTCAACGACAATAACAACAACAGCGGGACGAGCGGGCTGCTAGCTGGATGAAGGGAAAGAGGCCGATATCGTCGGAGAGGGTCTCGGAGGGATTTTTTGGCAGGCGGGACGAGGAAGGGATCTGGAGAGTTGAGAGAAGAGGGTAGAGGGTAGAAGAGAGGGAGGCAGAGAAAGAGTCAAGGCAAGAACAGCACAAAGACTACGACGATGGTCGACGACGACAACGCAACGAAGACTGAAGAGCAAGCAAGTTGACTTCAGTCAGCGAGAGAGGTTCCGCAGTGGAAGAAGTGGATGAGCGAAGGTGGAGTCGACCGGTTTAGTTGGTAATAAACCGTCGACTGAGAGAGTTCGTACTTCCTTAGTTCGGTCGACCTGACAAGGTAGGTACATGTAGATATTGTAAGTGGTACACGAGGAAATGGGGGAGAATGGGTGGAGGAGGGGGGGGAGATGGGGGAGGGAATGAGCAGGGTTGTAAGTAGAGATACTTGCAAGAAGAAGTTACGGAAGGGAGGGGAGTGAGTGGGTGTGGGTAGTGTGTAGTAGTGGTAGTAGTGGAAGAAAGAGGAAAGGTACCCTGGTGGGCTGTGCCGGGGTGTTCGGGTAGGTGTAGTAGGGTAAGTTGGGGTGGGTGGGTGTTAGAGATGGTACTTGGTGTTTAGGGTAAGAATAGGCGTGTGGGTAGGTATCTTTGCTAACTTTGGTAACATCGGTGAATTGGTGACTCTGGTGGGTGGGTGTCTTTGGGGAATGTTACCATAGCAGCAGGTAAGAGGTAGAAAGAGGTAGACAAGAGAGAAGAGGCTGAGAGGCAGACAAGAAGCAAGAGGCTGAGAGGCACAGAAGCAGACAAGAAGCAGACAAGGAAGAAGGCCAGGTGGAGAAAAAAAAACTAGTAGTTGAGTACTGTAGTAGAGTAGAGCAGAGTAGTAGAATAGTAGAGTAGAGTAGAGTAGGGTAGAGTAGAGTAGTAGTAGAATAGTAGAGTAGTCGAATAGTACCACTAGTATATACAAGTAGTGGTAGGCAGTTACAGCAGTCAAATCAGATAGAAAGTCACGACAGCAGCCAGACACCAGCTGGAAAATACATACGACAACCAGCGACAGCGACAGCAACACCGACAACACAACGACAGAGACATGCCCATCACATCGCATCAGATGCAGCGGGAAGTACATACCAATAGTCAATAGTACTACACAGTACATATACGAACATAGTTATGGTATGTCTAGGTTGTCGTGGTGCGTGGTGCGTGGAGCAGCGTGGGCGAGGATTCGCAGCATCAGGGTGGGGTGGGTTGGGGGGGTGGTGTGCGGGATCTCTTA